TCTCTTAGGCTGGTAAGGAAGTGCTTTTGAAAAGTGTAGCTCAATCTATGCCTACCTTTTCAATGAGTGGTTTTTTGTTACTTGAGTCAGTTTGCTTATCTATTGAGAGAACTATGAACAAATACAGGTGGGGGAAAGGTACAGAAAGGGGAATTCATAGGAAGGCTTGGGATAAGTTATGTATCCCGAAGAAGTTTGGGGGGTTGGGTTTTAAAGAACTCCGTACCTTTAATCTGGCTATGCTGGGAAAACAGGCATGGCGTTTCCTCACTATCCCAGACTCTTTGGCTGCAAAGGTATACAAGGCTCGGTATTACCCAACAACTTCCTTTGTTGATGCGACTGTTGGGAATTGCCCGAGTTATTGTTGGCGAAGTATTATGGCTGCGCATGGCATGGTCTGCTCTGGGATGCATAGGCGTATTGGAAATAGCACAACAACTTTAATTTGGGGCCATCTATGGTTACCTGACGACCCTAGCCCCTTGGTCCAGACTATTATGCTTGAGGAATTAAGACATGCTTTTGTGGCAGGCCTAATCGATCAGCAGACTAATACGTGGGATCCCCATATCTTGGCAGATTTATTTGACCCAGATGATGTGGCTCGTATATCTAGAGTTCCTATAAGCCCGGATTATGAGGACTCATGGTATTGGCTAGGCGACCCAAGAGGATTGTATACAGTTAAAAATGCTTATAGGCATATTGTTGAAGATTTTGGGCATAACCCTGGTACTTTTGATAAATGGGTTACACTATGGAAATTAAAGGTCCCTCCAAAATGGAAAACTTTCTTATGGGGAGCTATTTGTGACATCCTTCCCACCACAAACAATTTACTTATAAAGAGAGTGGGGGTGGACCTAACATGCCAAATGTGTGGTTTAAATCAAGAAGATGTTATGCACTCACTTGTTTTATGCGAATATTCTAAACTAGTCTGGAATACTACGGAGTTATCTATTACAAATATTATAGCTGATTCGTTTCCTGTATGGCTTATGGGTGCACTCATAACTTTGACAGAGGAACAAACTGGTGTAATGGCTGCGGTACTCTACTATTTGTGGACCGCTCGGAATTCGGCGTTGTGGAATGGAGCGCTGCCACGACCGGAGTAGCTTTGGAGGCGGGCTGCCGCTGCACTGCATGCGTATGCACAGGTGCATCAGCGTGCTCCTCGGCAGCAATTAGCAGAAACAGATGTGGAAATTCCTGGTGCTCGGCCGCGATGCTATGTCGATGCAGGGTACTGGCACGCCACTGGGGAAGCAACATACGGAGTGGTACTACTAAAACCGGACGGCTCATTCAAGGCGGAAACAAATGGCAAACTACCAAGCTGCTTCTCACCCCTTATGGCAGAGGCACTCACTTGCAAAGAAACTCTATCATGGCTCAAGAATCGAGACGAGTTGGACGTGGACCTCCTCACAGATTGCTCAAAAATACGAAGCTCCTTGCACGCTAGTCCTGCGACTATCTTATCTTATGTTGGGATGGTGGTGGACTAGTGTCGAGCGACAATAGCTCTTTTTGACTACTGCTCATTAAATGTTATTTCTAGATCAGTTAATTTACATGCTCATACTTTAGTTTCAACTGCTTTTTATCAGGAACATTCTTTGAATTGGGACTCTGTCCCTCCTGACTCTATTACTTCTTTCATTCATTAATATATGCCTATATTATGGCCTTCAAAAAAAATAAATGTATTTTTTTAGTACTACTAACTCTGTTACAATGCAGTATCTGTTTATAACTACTTTCTCAACTTACTGAACCATAATTAGTCAATATTACTCGCATCAAGGCTTAAACCCATGACTTCCCATATGTATATAATAGTAAGAAACTTTCAAATACCTTTTCCTGCCGTTATTTCTTTCTTTGAGAGTGGAAAGGGAGATGCTTGGAGGCAATGATGTCTCAGCTTGCTGGGGCGGAGCTTCAACGTAGGTGCTGGCAGAACAACGGGCACCCTAACTCGGGCTGAACGGTAGCCAGGCAGGACTAGTCAAATTCGTTGTCCTGGTCAGGCTTGCTGCTGGCCAATAGTAGCAAAGTCCCTTATGGGCTTCGGGGGGGCGGGGCTATTGCAGGGGTTGCTTTTTGTTTCGTGTCTGTCTATTATTTCCCTTATACACTTCCTTAAGTTATGCAATGTTATAGAGTTGTTTTTGAGCCGAGGAAATGTGGCACTTGGTTGTCCCGTCACGTTTCCTTTTAGCAGGTTGTTTCTTTGGCTTCGGAGGCACTGTTGGTCTATAGGCTTACTTGGTTTCGCCCTTGCGGGCTTTTTTGACAAAGACCAGGCCTCAACGTTGGTGCAAGCGGTAAGAAATTGCATCCTAGCCCGGGCTGAACGGTGGCCGGGTAGGGGTTTATCAAATCCGTTGGCGGTAGTCCAGGCTTACTGCTGACCCATAGTAGCTAATCCCTTTGGGGTTCTGGTTACTGATCATTGCTAGTGCCGTTTGGGAGGTTTGTTACTATTAGTTGGCTTGTGTTATGTATTGTCCTGCGAGCCGTTTTGCTTTGGCATGTGCGCCGTTGTTCTATGTGTGACCATAGTCAGATTATCTGTATATTTTATTTAATTGAGATGTTCGGACCTAGCTATTAGCCTACCACTTGGGCCTTTGGCATGTGAGCCGTGTTGTTTGGCCTGTGGGCCTCTTTGAGGAGGTGTTGCGGCTGTGTTAGCAGCTCTACTTGGTTGCATTGTGGTGCAGAGACGCAGCATTGCAACGTTGTAGGGAGGCGGCATGGTGGCGTGACACGATGATAGCAAGGTGGTTGTTCCCCTAGCTAACTGCGGGAGGTGTCGAATCTTAGCTTGTTTTGAGATAGGCCTTCTCTGCTTGTATGAGTTGGACCGCGAGCGTGGTAGGATGGTCGTGTAGTGGTAGTTTTCCACTATGGCATCTACAGATGTGTTGGTCCACAGCTCTCGGTTATTAATATTTTTTAGTTATTCTATTTTGCATAGCTTTAGCCTAGTTTGGTCTTGTGCTAGTTGTGCTGGCATAAGCCGGGGCCGTTAGTTTATATTGTGCACAATTTGAACTATATATCCGGAATCAATGAACTAAAATTCCATAATCGATGAACTAAAATTCCAGAATCTATGAACTAAAATTTCAGAATGAATGAACTAAAATTCCAGAATCTATGAACTAAAATTCCAAAATCGATGAACTAAAATTCCAGAATCGATGAACTAAAATTCCAGAATCGATGAACTAAAAATCCAGAATCTATGAACTAAAATTTCAGAATCTATGAACTAAAATTCCAGAATGAATGAACAACATAATGCTGTTGAGGGGAATTGAAACTGATTTTTGTTTAAGTGGGAAGCGCGTTTTTAATAAAACGACGTCGTTTTTGCATCCGTACGCACCATGCATGGTGCATACGGATGCACAGCATAACTATTGCATGCGGGACCTTAACTCCTTGACTTTGTATGGGTTCTGCCAGGGACGGAGCCAAAAATTCGGTTGAGGGGGGGCGAAACAGTACAGACGGATTCAGAAAATTTTTCCAGAAAAGGCGAAACATTAAAACAAAAGAGATAATTTAAATATAAATAAATAAACTACCTAAGAAATATAATTGTAAATATTGTTGGATATGGACGAAAAATAAAACACATCGAAACTTTATTAAAATATTCATAACAAAATATGAAACATAATTAATAAAATAATTTAAATAGAAAACACATTATAAATTACACATCTTATTATAGAGTGTGTGTGTGTGTAATATTAAAAAGCTATTAAAAAAGAATTGTAAAACTATGTTGATGCTAAGATTAAAACCCTTAACCCCATTATTATCAATGATGTGCTCTACCACCTACTCTAACTCATTTTTTGTTAACATTTTATAGTTTTTTTATACTAATACTAAAACATGTACTATATATACATATATACATATATACATACAAATACTATATATGGGACGGGGGTGGGGTGAGGGGGTACAGTTACCCCCCCTCTCCCTCCGTCCCTGGTTTCTACCCTCCTTTTGATTAATAAATTAATTTTTTTAAAAAAAAGATATAGAGACATTGGAGGCAAATTTTGTTCCATGCTACTTTTTTTTTTTCTTTTAACTTAGTTAATATGACCAAATTTCCACCCTTTTCCTATTTTAAAAAAAGATATTGTAATATACTTATCCTTTCAAAAAAAAATACTTATAATAGCATATTGTAATAGTATTTAGTCATATATATATATATATATATATATATATATATATATATATATATATATATATTCTAAAATGTTATTCCATTAGTGTTATTTACAAGGACATTTTTCTCTCTCTTGTTGAATGATGCAAATGTGAAATGTTAAAGAGTATAAATCATCTATTGTATAGTTCAAAATTAATAAATGATTCTCATAGTATAAATTAAAAGGGTAAAATATGAGTATCTGAATCACTAGCAGGATTACTTAACATTTTTGGCTTTTGCATTGCAGCGCCTAGAGTTCATTTTCTGTTCATTAGAATTGTACATAACATTGCCAATGTTGTACTTCCACATTTCCAGACAAGAGTACCCTTACACTACCCATTTTCTTTACCTTGCATTATGTTACCAATTTAAGAATATTAATACTGTTCCATTACTCTTTAAAAAGTAATAAATGAGTTAGTCCTAAAGTATGTGAAGTAATCAAATATCATATATTAATTATTTTTAAACAAGACATTGTAACATAAGGCAATTTTTTTAAAAAAAAAAATTACTTATAATAGCATATCGTAGTAGTATTTAGTCTTTTATACATTACTAGTAATTTTTTTTAAATGTTGTTTCATTAGTGTTATTTACAAGGACATTTTTGTCTATCTTATTGAATGATGCAAATGCAAATGCAAAAGTTAAAGAGTATAAAGCATCTATTATATAGTTCAAAATTAATAATATGATTTTCATAGTATAAAATTAAAGGGTAAAATATGAGTACCTGAATCAATAGCAGGATTACTTATACACATCTTCGCTAGCTTTTGCCATAAGGACCCCTGAGTTCTCTTTTTGGTTTTTGCCATTGCAGCGCCTACAGTTCATTTTCTGTTCATTAGAATTGTACATAACATTGCCAATGTTGTACTTCCACATTTCAAGACAAGAGTGCCCTTACACTACCCATTTTCTTTACCTTGCATTATGTAACCATTTTAAGAATATTAATGTTCCATTACTCTTTAAAAAGTAATAAATGAGTTTGTGCTAAAGTATGTGAAGTAATCCTATCCTATCCTATATATAATAAAGTCATATGGTCTTGTGAAAATTAAATGGTGATAATCAACATTTAATTTTCACAAGACTATAATAATATTGTTAATTATAATAACAATAATAATAATAATTGCAATAATAATAATGATAATAATTTCCACTGACAGTTTCTAATATATATATATATATATATATATATATATATATATATATATATATATATATATATATATATATATATATATATATATTTCAATTTCTACTGGCAAATTATTGTGTGAACGATGGTCCACATAATTGTATGGATCATGAATATCAAATACATTTTAATATATTAAAAATACATTATTTTTATATTGAAAGTACCCTACATACATATATAATGTACCCTTAGTATATTTAAAATATACTTTTTATTGCATTCAACCCCAAAGTTTATAAGTTTGAAATTAATATATGGCATAGCTAGGCGGCCTAATATTTAAGATTGTTGATGTGCATATTGAGGACTACGGAGACAAAGATGCGTTATTCGTGGATTCATCGGATACTATCCAACAACACTCTCCAACTTAATTGACGTGAAGTAGGCTTAGTAACATTAAGATTATATTCTCGAATTATTAGTTCTCATCTTTTATTGATTACACACTTAATTCGATAGTATTTGGAAGAAAAAATCAATGTTCGAACTAAGATTGTGATTTTGGTCTTTAAAGGTCAATTGTATGTTGCTACATCTAGAGTTAGAAATCTCAAAGGTCTAAAAATTTTGATCCGTGGTGACTCTAAAATTGTAATTCAATTACTATTGTAGTTTACTAAGTTCTTAAAATTTTGTAATATTAAATACTATGTACTAAATTTTTAATATAGTTTAAGATTTGTAGTAATCACCCACCTTAAATATTATTTTAATTGTAAATATATTTATGTTCATAATTTTATCATAGGAATTCACACATAATAATTATTAAATAACAAAAATTTTATATATGAATAAACCTCATATAGGGTATATTTTTATAACATATTTTCCGTGCATCGCACGCGACAAATACTAGTTAATCAAATATCATAGATTACTTTTTTCTTTTTGGTGTAAACCACGAGATGGTCCGGATCTTTTTCTATCCGTTTAACAGTCACTGCTGGAAATTATGAAATTTCTGACCACCTGAAAGTGATCTTAATAAATCAAGTTGAAAGCCTTGCTCCGACCACTTTTGGTATCCGGAAAAACCTCTATTTCCGACCACTTTTTCCTTTCGACTTGATTTAAGATCACTTTCAGGTGGTCGGAAATTCCATAATTTCCATCCGTGAGTGTAGGTCCACCAGACTAATCCTCGTTCGCTACGAGAGCTAACTCGGGAATCATCAATTGTGGGAATTGAACCCGAGTTATTATCCGGCCTATTGGGTTATATATTAATTATGATTAACATATATTAGCTCACACGGTTAATTATGTGACACTGTTAATTATGCGGCGCTGGCCTCCTCTCGTTTAGTCGTTTATTCTCCTACTCTGACCGGTTCTCAATCGTCTGTCCTTCAGCCTCTCTTTCGCTGCCTGCACCTCTTCCCGCCTCTCTTTCACTACCACCATCTCCTCTGGCCCCTCACCAACGTTTCTTTCTCTTTCACCACCGTCCCTCGCCATCTCCAACTCCAGATCCAAGCTTCTTTACCATTTTTTTCTGCGGTTCAACAAATTTTATATATATATATATATATATATATATATATATATATATATATATATATATATATATATTAGTTAGTGGTTTGGTGTTTAGGATTTGTTTTGGTTGTTTTAGATTTGAATTTCATCTGTTGCTTTGTTAAAGTTATTTTCTCTAGTTTCGTTTGCTAGTTATTTCCTCTCGTGTCTTCAGTTTTCCTCTCGTTTATTTGGCGAGTTCTTTTTTGATAAGGTGAAACAATTTATCTGATAATGGAGTATGTTTGCTTCATCCTGAGCACCGGAGAAGATCTGAACCTTGATACGCAGTTCAGTTTAATGGAGATATTGTCTATGGACAGAAGAGCCGCAATAGAGTCAGACTTGGGTAGCAAGATCATTAACAATATCAAATAAGCTTCAGGTTCTCCAAAAGAATTCATCTTCAATAATTTTAAAAAACAGTCAGAGATTCAAGTTTCGTGTAGCATTGAAAATTTGTTTCAATGTTTGATTGTAAGAATATTTTATCATTCCATCGATCTTATTGTAAACTTTTCATCGTATGATTAATGAATTAGCTCTTTTATTTCAAAAAAAAAAATGCCACATTAAATTAAATCTTAGACGATAGTCGTATTATAAAAAGAACTTGCCATCAATTTAATAACTATATTATATTGTATTCCATGACTAGCATTTTGTACGCGCGATGCGCGAAAACTTATGCCCAATATTAAAATATTTGTAAGTAACAAAATTTAAAAATTAGTTAAAATTATGTTTTGCAATTTCTTAAAGTAATGATACTTTTGAATTATCATATATTTGAATAATATAGTGATCAAAACAAAAAGAAAAAAAATTATATTTTTATATAATAATAATTTACAAATAATACTAAGCTAACACTCACATATATGATATATTGATATGGATACACAAATAATATACATACATATTATATATATATATATATATATATATATATATATATATATATATATATATATATGATACACATATATAATTTAACATTCATATAAATATTTAATTAAAATATAATTTATAATTAAATTAATTGTACCCGGGTACCCGGGTTGGACTTCCATTAGGAAGGTTGTGAGTTCAAGCCTCAGTGGAGGCGTTATTAGCTCTTTGTGTTTCAGTAGGTTGAGAAAGTATATGAACAGATACTACAATGTAATAGAGCTAGTAGCATTCAAAAAAAAAAAAATTAATTGTTATATGATAATTTTAATAAAATGATAATTAAAAATAGGAAAAAGATATGATAGATGTAGGTGTACGGTAAAATTGGTAGATATATTAAAAACTAACGGTGTTATAACGGTGTAAGGGTGATTTTGTCCAATGCAAATGAATGTACAACAATTAAAGCAAAATGTATATATTTATTAGCATATAAAAAAGGGACAAAAATCAAGGACATAACTTGTATTGACACTTATTATGTTTTTAGATATATATATATATATATATATATATATATATATATATATATATATATATATATATATATATATATATAATTTAACATTCATATAAATATTTAATTAAAATATAATTTATAATTAAATTAATTGTTATATGATAATTTTAATAAAATGATAATTAAAAATAGGAAAAAGATATGATAGATGTAGGTGTACGGTAAAATTGGTAGATATATTAAAAACTAACGGTGTAAGGGTGATTTTGTCCAATGCAAATGAATGTACAACAATTAAAGCAAAATGTATATATTTATTAGCATATAAAAAAGGGACAAAAATCAAGGACATAACTTGTATTGACACTTATTATATTTTTAGATTAATATTGGTATTACACGAGATAAAGCCTACAATTAACATCCATATTAATTGTTGAATTTTAAAGGTTTGATTGTAATTACATTTGACTCACATTTGAAGGTTTGAATTTTTTTCACCAATGAACTTTTTTTTTTCTTTAGATAAACAGGGAGGGGGAAACCCCAAGCTAAACACCAATGAACTTCTTTGATATATATATATATATATATATATATATATATATATATATATATATATATATATAGAATTAGGTTCTGGTGTAAACTTGAGGTATCACTAGAAAAATTATAGTTTAGTCCATTGTCAAGATTAAATATAACTTTTAGAGCCTATATGTCTATTATTTAATAAAATGTTTAACACTATTTCCCATTATTTTTTTTCTCTCTTGAATATTACTATTGGTTTGATTTCAAAATAGTGATTATTATTATTATATAAATAGTATATATTTTATATTTATCCTTTTGAATCTCAAAGATCATGTAACAATCTTTGGTTAATAGACATTGAATCGGGCAATTAACCTCATGTTGAATATGGATTTTGTGGTTAGTCAAATTCCATATGTTAGGAACACATGTATTAGGATTTTGATGATACCAATGTAGCTTAGAAGTAGACCCCTAACTTTTTGTCATTTATTTGGATACCTTCGTTCTAGACGAAAGGTACCTTAACTCACCATGTAATTCGTGTTAAGCTAGTCAAACACACGAAACCGAGTTAAGATCTTTTTAGTTAGGTCTCTCTCAACGAGAGAAGAGCAGTTCGATGAAGCACAGCCTCATCCCCATTGCACAACGAAAGATAAGATGATCTTCTACAACAGAAAGTAGAAGCCGAAAGAAGCCTTCTGATCAAGAGACCTTTTATGACTGTCAAGACAAATCATCTTCTCTCAACTCAAGAAGAATGTTGTCAAATGTCTCATCTGAAGATCATCCTAGGAATAAACTTTCCTAAAGAATGAGAGCACACTTATCAAGGTGCATTACATGCCACAGTACTACTTTTCAGAGCTAGAAGACAAAATAAGAAAAAGTGCTTGTCTCCAACGTCTATATAGTACAGCTGCATTTAATGAAGCAATAAATGCACAAGGCTCTTCGGTTATTAACCACTGGATCATAGGTTTGAAATGCCATCTCCCTCCAACGGATGGATTATTTCTCACCTATAAATACTCATCTTCTCCATGATAGAAGGTGCTGGTTTTTAGAACAATTGAATACTTAATCTCAAAATCTCCTTATACAAGTTCACTCTCTCAAGCTTTTGAAATCCAGTGATTCAAGGTGTGATATTTGAAGAAGACGCATCTAATCTCATTCACACAACCTTGAAGAAGTCTTGCAATTTTGTATACACTGATTATTCATCAAGTCACCAGCCAGTCAAGACTTCACCGTGTTGGAGAAACTCGAAGATTATTCATATCCAACCCTCAACTCTGAAGAAGACGTTGATAGAGGCGGAGTAAACTCTAGGAGTTGAAAAACATTCAAGTAGCTATCCGGCTTAGTGATCAAGGAAGCTATCTTGGTGTAATTTGTACTAGGAGTGATAGTGCAAACCTTTCACGAGTTGTGAAAGAATAGTGGAGTAGGCAGAGTTGGCCGAACCACTATAAAAATCTCTTGTCTCTATCTCTTTACATTTCAACACTTTACTTTCTTGCATTGCATAACATTCGACTTTAACCGAAAGCTTTCCAAAAGATCAAACAGTGCAAAACAACCTAAAATTTGTATTACATATCCGCTGCGTAATAACCCCGAAAGGAGTTATTTTCGTGAAAAACGAATTGAGTCTATTCACCCCCCCCCCCCCCCTCCCCCTCTAGACTCTCCTTTCGACCCTACCGGGACCAACACCATATTATAGGGTATAAATATATATTCCTCATTTAATTACCAATTTGTTTCTTTGGAATAATAAGTGAAAATAAGTGTGTTTATAGAAGGGAGAAAATTTATATTCATTGGTCCTACAAGTGAGGTTGTTAAGAACTTGTCTAACTGAAAAGAGTAAGCCAATCGTTTGTAGAAAGTTTTCATCAATCACCACACCGATTAAATAAGCTACAGGATGTAAGGTATTTTACGTACCGTTAAATAGTTTTTCATATTTGATATCATTTTAACATAATATTGAAAATGTTATAATCTTTAGAATTATATTGTGAATAGTGATTTTAAACCGAATTGAAAAGTAGTTAGTTAGGTGAAAAATGATATGACTTTATTAACTATTGAAAATATCATCTCAAAATCATAAACTATAACAATTGTGTAATCTATTTCTCTTTGAGAATGGTGGTTTACTTACTTTTTTATTAATAAGAAAGTTAAATTTAAAACTCAAGAAATCAAAAGTAGAAAGGAAAAATAATTGACAATGTTAGATATGTTAAACTTGTTATTAGCATTGTCCAAGTAGAGTTTGTCAGATATTTTTGTTTTTGCTGTTTGGATAGGTGTTCATACAAAATATTAAAGAATATAAAAATATATGTGATATAATTTAGAATAATATGTATGATAATATAAAGCTTGGGTGAAGTATGAGTACCTAAATCACTCTCGTTAGAACCCGCCTCCTGGTAAAACGAACGAACATCCCTATAAAAAGTAGAAGCACGGATGCATAAGTATTAGTTTTTAATTTTTTTTATTTATTAATTGAAAGAACAACATGAGTTTGTTTTTATATAATTCCTTAGCCTAAATAAAATACAAACTGAAAAAAAAAAAAAAAAAAAAAAAAAAAAAAAAAAAAAAAAACCTGCAAAAGAATATTGAACATAAAAGAGTATATATATGTGGCATTAAAAACTTAAAAGAAAATCATAATGTTAAGGGATAAATGATAGTAATTTTCAAGGCTAATATGTTTACCTTTTTCGCCGTATTGCTTTAGTTGATGATTCATCATCTGTATACAACAAACTGCAACTCCAATTGGGGGTATCTTTATCCGTGAAAGTCTTTGATTTAGGACACCGGATTCTTCTTTTTTCTAACATTTTCAAATCTTGAATTGCCGCCTCAAATACCAAATAATGATTGGGTGTAATATTATCCGTGATAGATTTAGACCACAGACTACTAAATGGTATGTAGGCAAAGCATACAAGTTCATGTCCATCCTTATTGTCGTCAAATTCCTGATCATATGGCCTGCTAATCACACATTGTGTTTCGAGAGAATGTTCATGACTAGCATTATTTTTGTGTATAAGTTTGATTTTGAGCTCACAATGCCTAAAATGGAGAATGCCTGGGCGTGACTCCCATTTCACTTGTCTTGGAAACACAAAACATACAACAAACCCCACAAATTTATGACTATACCAGGTGGAATCAAGAGAAATGGAGATGTTGTGAGGATTGTGGTGAGGATCATGGTCAGGATATTTGAAGCATCTACTGATTTTATAATCAGTGAACGGTTCAAGAGGATAGGTGATAGCAAAAGGAGTGTTTCTATTTTGTAAAGGCTTTGTGATAGAAATAAACTTCTTAGCCAACTCCCTAGGTACTAAATTAGCTCTGTTCTCTTTAGTATTAGAGAATGAGACAGAATATAATTCTGAATACTTGGTTGCTAACTCAGCTATGTTGTTTTCAGAAGCCAAATTAGAATCTGCATATAGTTCCCTTATAGTATGCGGGAGTTTTGATAGCTTTATAATTCCTTCACGACCTCTGATGTCAAGGTACTGATTCAAGTATGGTGGCGACATGCTCAAGGATCCAACATCAGTTGTGCATCCTGTTGATATCAAAGAAATGTTTTTTTTTTTTTTTTTTTGTAATTTTTGTTTAATGTCTTAAGTAATATATACATATATCTAAACACACACATATATAAACAGAAGTGTCATTTTTCCATCTATCCTAGAAAAAGAATTTGATTTTGAAATTTGAAGTAAGTTGAATTAAGCGTTATTATAATTAAAATACATACCAAATCAAATCATTACAAATTTGTAAATATTTATTATAAAATATATACATAATTAAAATACATACCAAATCAATTGTTATCTTTTTTGGAGACATTATATTAAATAATATGATAATTTATTATTACCATAATTCATATAAAATGAAAAAAAAAAATATTCTACTAACATAGAATAAAAGATTTCAGTTCAAAATAGATATATTGAATTTATTATAATTAGAAAGAATTTAATCTTCTATTTAATTTAATATTTAATATTATATATATATATATATATATATATATATATATATATATATATATATATATATATATATATATATATATATATATATATATATATATATATAGAATAAAAATTTTAATTCAAAATAGTAAATTTATTCGAATTAGATAAAAATGAAATAATTTTTTTAAAAAACCTTTTCATGCACACGAAAGCAAACTTTATTATAAAATAAAAATAAAATAATCAAAGATAATTTCATTGCTATTATGTATATTATTTTTTGTCATTATATAGAGAGAGAAAATAATAATATGTGAATTTAATGATAACAAAAATTATATAAAATGAAATTTTATATTGTATTAGAATAGAATAAAAAAATTTAAATTCGAAATAGATATGTCAAATTTTTCTAATTAGATACAATTTAAATTTTCTATTTAATTTCATATGTTCATTTTATAGATATTTTTAATTTTAATTTTTATTTTCTTTGAATTTCAATTCAAAAATTTAAAGTTGAAATAATTTAATTTTATTTGAATTTAGTATTATTTTTAAAATTCTATATTTAAAGGGATGTATTGATTTAGACACAAAATAATGCTAGTGATTTATGTTCATAATATATTAGTCATTTATGCTCAAAATATTCAAAAGATAACTTTAATTCTGGTAATGATTGAATTATGCTTCTAAGAAAATTTAATTTTAAATTCTCTTAAACTCATACTTTTAATTATAAAATTTATAACCATTTAGAAATATGCCAAAATACGTACATATCATTAATCCATAATGAATTTAAAATTAAAATTCTTTTAATTTCTAAATGAAATTCCTTAAGATAATATGAAAATATATAATTAAGTAATAAATAAAATTAAATAAATGTGCATTCATCAATATTTAGAAATATGCTAAAATACATACATATACTTATGACCATATTAATCATAAAAAATTAAAATATCATTTTTATATTTTTAAATATAATTATCTTAATTATAAATCTAACAATATAAATTATAATTAAGGGAAATATACTACTCCATATAAAATTTTACATAATACATATTAATAAATTTTATGTGCACATACAAAGCATTATACAATTATGTAATGAAATACATGCATGCATTCGATTATGATCTAAATCTATGCATATAAGATTTAAAATTATATCTTTTAATTTTTGAATATAATTCCATTAATTATTATTCATTTTATTGAATCATAATATATATGAAATACAATTAGAAATAATCAATTTAATTATGTAAATTTCATTTATAAATGTATCTAAATATGTATATTATTAAACATTATATTAATCATACAAAATTTTAATTTTAATTTTGTATGTTGTGTACATACATACGGCCGTGTCAAATATATGAATTTCATGATAACATAATTTATTTCGTACATCGTGTAAAACACTAGTTAATACATTTATAAATAAAGAAAGACATATGACCTTAATTGTTTGGTAACATTGTTAGCTTATCAGCTAATTTTAATTTATTTGATCACTATTAGCCGTTTGACTTGGTTAAATAACCAATATAAGTATTTGATTAATTAACTTTTTATAATAGTTTATTGCTCAAAAACACTAAAATTTAAAAAGTTGCGTATGCTCAAAACAACTTTTTTGATAAACTTTTTAAGAAAGTTATTTTGCATTTAATTAGCTATCATCTAATTACTAAACACCTTTCTATAATCAACTAATGTTATCAACTAGTCAAACCTGGTAACCCAATCAATTAATAGCAATTTACCAAACACCCAATAAACAAAAATACACACGCATAAACAAATTGAATTGATGTGCTCAATCTTGTTAATAAAATTACAAAATACACCCCATATATCTTGGCGTAAATAATTAAATGTATATAATAGTATGAAACTTTCAAATACCTTTTACTACAGTTCTTTTTTGTCATAAAAGAAAATAGAGGCATTGGAGGCAAATTTTGTTGCATGCTATTTTTTTTTTTTTTTTTAACTTAGTTAATATGACCAATTAAGGTGCCACCCTTTTCCTATTTTTTAATTAAAAAGATATTGTAACATATGAAATTTTTTTAAAAAATACTTATAATAGCATATTGTAATAGTATTTAGCCTTTTATATATTAATATATTTTTTTTCTAAAATGTTATTCTATTAGTGTTATTTACAAGGACATTTTTGTCTCTCTTGTTGAATGATGCAAATCCAAAATGTTAAAGAGTATAAAGCATCAATCTATTATATAGTTCAAAATTAATAATATGATTACCATAGTAAAAATTAAAAGGGTAAAATGAGTACCTGAATCACTAGCAGGATTACTTGTACACATCTTTGCTAGCTTTTGGCATAAGGACCCATGAGTTCTCTTTTTGGTTTTTGCCATTGCAGTGCCTACAGTTCATTTTATGTTCATTAGAATTGTACATAACATTGCCAATGTTGTACTTCTACATTTCCAGACATGAGTGTCATACCATTTTCTTTACCTTGCATTATACTCCATATGTTATTATTTTAAGAATACATTATTAATTATTATTTAAAAAGTAATAAACGATCGAGTTAGTCCTAAAGTATGTGAAGTAATCAAATATCATATATTAATTACTATTAACATATATTATGTCACACTATTAATTATGTCAATAAACAATTATAATGAGTACTAAGCCCGATCAATTTAAATCATAGACGATATTCATTCATACTAGAAAGAACTTACCATCAATTTAATAACTAGATTATATTGTATTCCATTATCTTAACTATAATAAAGCTATATGGTTTGGGAAATAATTACTGTTACAATTAATATCACAACATTCTTTATTATAAAAAATAAAATAAAAAAATAAAAAAAAAATACAACATTTGAAAAATAAAATAGCTATATATTATATAATCATATAAAAAATGTACTTTTAAAAAGTAAAATAGCTATATATTATATAATCATATAAAAAATATGTTCAATTAGAGTTTAAATTTACAATTTGAAATTTGCTTTCCAAATGTAATTATCTTAGTTATTATTCGTATTGTGAAAATTATAATATAGATGAAATACAATTAAGAATAAATCAATGTAATTATTTAAAGGAAAAAGGGTCAAATAGGCCCTCGAACTTTAGCTTAAAAGTCAATTAGGCCCCTAAACTTTTTAAAGGTGCAATTACACCCATCAACAATTCATTTAGGTGCAATGAAGCCTAAAAACAAGTTAATGACCTGCTATCACAGGTCATTAGGGTTCAGGCCACCTTATGGCGAATTTTTCGACAAAAAAAAAAATGTGACCAGCAACTGACCCAGATTTGTCAAAAATTTCGCCGGTCACTGTTTTTTTTTTTTTTTTGCCGAAAATTCGTTGGAAGGTGGCCTGAACCCTAATGACCTGTGATAGCAGGTCATTAATTTGTTTTTGGGCTTCATTGCACTTAAATGAATTGTTGATGGGTGTAATTGCACCTTTAAAAAGTTTAGGGGTCTAATTGACTTTTAAGCTAAAGTTCGAGGGCCTATTTGACCCTTTTCCCTTATTTAAATTCTCTCTATAAGTTTATTTGAATATGCACATAATTAGAGATTATATTAACCATACAAAATTTTAATTTTAATTGTAATTTTGTATTCTATAAAAATAATAAATACTTGACCAATGGAAGCTAAAAAATATTATTATATTAAACAATTTAAAATATTTTAATTTTTCTATTTTTATAATAACATAATTTTTTCCCGTGCATCACGCGGGTGAATGCTACTGGTTCTATTAGATCATATACTTTCTCAACCTACTGAAACACAAAGAACCAATAACGCCTCCACTGAGGCTCAAACTCACACCTTCCAAATGAAAATCCAACCCGGGTACCATTAGACCACATAGTCCTGGTATCTTTTTTTATACTTTCACAATTGTCATAACATTTGACTCAAATTTAAAGGTTTAATTTTTTTTTCACCAATCAACTTCTTTGATATATGTTACTTTTGTGTGGACAAGAAAAATTATAGTTTAGCCCATTCAAAATAAACCCATACATACTTACATGGCAAATTATGTTGTGCATCTGGATGCAAAAACGATGTCGTTTTGATTAAAAACGCGCGTCCAACTTATAAAAAAAAAAAAAAAAAAAAAAATCAGTTTCGATTCCCGTCAACAACATTATGTTGTGCATAATTTCTGAATGTATATATAGTTATGAAATTAAGGATGTATAGTTATGCAATTCTGGATTTATAGTTATGAAATTATGATGTGTAGTTATGCAATTCTGAATGTATAGTAATGAAGTTATGCAATTCTAGATTTATAGTTATGAAGTTATAGATGTGTAGTTATGCAATTCTGAATGTATAATAATGAAGTTATGGATGTGTAGTTATGCAATTATGGATATATAGTTATGCAATTCTGGATGTATAGTTATAAAATTATGGGTGTAGTTATGCAATTTTGATTTTTTTTAAAAAAAAAAAGTTGAACACACGTTTTTAGTTAAAACGACGTCGTTTTTGCATCCGTGTGCACCATGCATGGTGCACATGGATGCACAGCATAACGATCCTACTTACATGTGTGTGTATGCATCAATGCATGTTTGTATATTTAAATGTATGTATATAATAGAATAGTGTAATATCATTTATCCTTTTTTTTTAAATGTTATTCCGATCCATAATAATTTCTATATATATATATATTTATATTGATATTTTGTTATATGGGATAAGTGTTAAAGAATATATATCCCTACTAAATTAATAATATAGTATAGAATAAAGTACCTGGATTACTAGTCGTTGCATCAACTCCACCATTATGTTCTATATATATGTTATGATCCTCCATCTTCCTCCCCGTCTTCATCTTTATCTTCTTCTCCTCCCCCTTCTACATCATCAAGATCAAATATAATTTAGAGTCTATGCCTATTATTTAATATTGTAAAATGTTTAACATGTTCTCATTATTTTTTTCTCTCTTGGATATTACGTTGTGAATAGTGACTTTAAAGTGAAATTGAAAAGTAGTTAATTACGGAGTAGAAGATAAATGATTAATGATATGACTTTATTAAATATTGAAAATACCGTCTCAAAATCATAAACCATAACAATTGTGGTTCTAGCTCTTTGAGAATGGCGACTTTCGTGTTATAACAAGTCCGGATCTTTTTCCTCCTTCTTTTTTGTTTTTTTTTTTTTTTTTATCTGATTACATGCTTACTTCTTGTCATCACGTTTGCATCACATCACCACTTGCGGGCTTTTGTTGGGTTAGCTTCTACATGACTTACATATCTACTATTTGACTTGCTTCTTACTGCTGTTTAGACATACTACTCCTAAGGATTGAGCGACAATCCTATGTAAAGGTCTCCTTCCACACACTCACCCATTTATACCACTTTACTAATGTTCATAACATAGGGGCTAAATATACTATTGTTCTATTAAATATAGGGATCAAATTTTGAATTTCCCCTAAGAATAATAAGATAGTATGAAAGGGGTAAAGTAATTGTTATTTAGAAAGTTATTTTTACCTTGATGTTGCTGTGACGTGGTATTTCCCCAATAATTGCCCCAGCCTGAGTGAAAGCCATTGAAGCTTTTTCAATACTATGTTCAGCAATGGAAGCCTCTTCATCTGCAACTGATTATATATATTTAGATTATTTTATTATAATTTACTTCTTAAGAAAAACTATATATATGCATTGTATACACGCATATATATATATATATGTGTGTGTGTGTTTACATGCTTGTATATATGTGTATATAATAGTATACAAGGGTGGAGTATAAGTACCTAAATCATTATAACTGGAACTATCATCGCTCCATAGTGCTTCCCTCAATGATTTATCATTTTTATATAATAAACCACAACTCCAATATGGTAAATTATTGGAATCCGAATGCAGAAATGCCACCTCGAATACCGAATAATCATTAGGGCTAGCACTTATTGATAGACTACGAAATGGTATGTAAGCAAAGCATATCATGAATCCATCCTTGTTGAAGTCAAACTCTTCGTCATATAATCTGCCAATCTTACAGTATGTTTCAACTGGATTTCCATTATCTTTGTGTATCAACTTGGCTATGACTTCACAATGCCTAAAAGGATGAATGTGTGGGTGTGATTTCCATGTGTGTAGACTTCTTCCTTTCAAGAGAAAGTGTACAACAAATCCAACAAAAGTTTGTGTATACCAAGAGGGATTAAGATTAATGGATATCTTATTCGAATGAGGAGATGAATATCTGAACCATCTCTTGGTACCAATATCAGTCAAAGTAGGATAGGTAACTACGAAAGGAGAGTTTCTACTTTGAGAAGACAAATGAGCAAACTGGCTTGCCAACTTCTGAGCTGAAAGTTTTGGCTCAGCTATGTTGTTTTTATGAGAGAATGAGACAGAATATAATTCTGAATACTCAGTTGCTAGCTTAGCTATTATGCTTTCAGAAGCCAAATTAGAATGTGCATATACTTCCCATATGGTCGCGGGGAGAATTATCGATGGCATTTGAAGTCTTTGACAACTACTGATGTCAAAGTATCGAAGGCCTAGGCGATGGAGTTGGCTACAGTATTCAAGTAAACGAGGAGAATTCTTTAATCTATTGAGATTCAAGTACTCCGTCTCCCCCAACTCCATCAAGGTCAAGCATGCAATATCATCCGTTGTGAGTCCTAATAACAAGGAGGTGCAACAAAGTCAAGAGTAAGGGAAACACATATACACATAATAGTTTACTGTACTCATACAGTGGAAAAGAAAATTGATACACATACACATGCATATATGTATGTACATATGCACTATTGTATACGAGAATGTATGTATATAATAGTATAATGTATTACTAGGAAAAATATTCGGGTTATTGACTTGGTAAGTACAATGTTCTAAATTTCACAATGAATCATTTGCCCTCAAGTTATTTACAATAATTTAAATTTTTGTAATAGTAATAAAATTACATTAAATCATGACAAAAAAAAAAAAAATGAAGTAAATTTGACAATTAAAAAATAAATTATTAAAATTATTTAGTCTTTATATATTAAAACATTTTCTAAAATATTAATTTATAAAGACTAAATATTATAAAAAAACTTTTTACTTTTTATTAAATACTCTGAATGTATTAATATAAAATGTTTAAAAAATATAAGGGCCTTCTTTGGTCAATGGTGGAAACGTGTTCACCATGCGCATGGTGAACACAAGGGGGTAGATCCATAATTTTTATATTGTAGATTTATAATTTTATTTTTTTTGAAAACGTAGATTCATAATTTTGTTTTTCATTTATTGTTAACATGATAGATCCATAATTTCTAAGCTGTAGATTCATAATTTCTATACTGTAGATTCATAACATCTATACTGTAGTTTCATAATTTCTATACTTTAGATTCATAATTTCTGTACTGTAGATTCATAATTTTTATACTGTAGATTCATAATTTCTATACTGTAGATTCATAATATCTGTAACAACAAATGAAAAAAAATGAATCTACGTTTTCAAAAAAAAAAAAAAATTATGAATCTACAGTATAGAAATTATGGATCTACCCTTGTGTTCACCATGCGCATGGTGAACACGTTTCCACGGCATAATTTGCGTTGTTTGGTAACATAGTTAGTTTATCAACTATTTTGACTTATTTGATCACTATTAACTGTTTAACTTGGTTAAATAATCAATAAATTGTTTGGCTAATTAACTTTTTGTAATAGCTTATTACTTCAAAATGCAAATTGTTCAAAGCAGCTTTTGGATCAACTCTATGAGAATATCATTTTACATGTAATCAATTATCAGCTAACAACTAATTTACTAAACACTTTTTTACAATAAACTAATGCTATCGAATAGTCAAACTCACTAATCCAATTAAGTAACACTTATTTATCAAACATCCCAAAGTGTTTTTAATATAGTACAAAATAATATATAACAATATAAAGGGGTAAAGTATTAATACCTGAATCATTTCCATTATGCCCAGATCTTTTTTCGCTTGCTCCTATTTCCCTAAAAGCACACATTTTTATTCAGTCAATTAAAAAAGGTATAGGCCCTGTTTGGTAAAATAGTTAGCTTATAGGTCAATTTTGGTTTATTTGATAACTATTAGCTGATTAAAAAATCAATTTAAGTGTTTGATTAATTAGCTTTTTGTAACTCCTAAATTCTAAAATTCAAAAAACTACTCAAAGTAAATTTTTCAATTAGCTTTTTGAGAAAGAAAATTATACCAAACAACTGTCAACTAACAACTAATTTACCAAACACCTTTCTATAATCGGCTAATGTTATCATCAACTAATTATATCCTCTAATTAACACAATCAGCTAACATCCATTTACCAAACAGGACCATAGTAGTTAAGTAGGATCCATGCATTTTTCTTCTTCTTCAAAAAAAAAAAAAAAAAAAAAAAAAAAAACAATGCTTATTATGAATTCAGTCCTAGTTTAAATAGAAGAGAAAACTAAAACAAACTGAATATATATATATATATAGACACACAGTATACCCAGGGTTGTAAAAATCCCGCCTAGGTACCGAGTAATCGGCGCCTAGGCGCTAGGCGCCCATAGGCCGTGGCGATTTCCGCCCTAGGCTCCCGCCTAGGAGACCGGCCGCTTAGGCGCCCGCCTAGCGCCTAACTCGTCCGATTACGCCGAGTTAACTCGTCAATTTCTGTCGAGTTAACCCGACCGACTCGACCTTGCTAATTTTTTCCATTTATATGACATATACATATAATATGACATATATACACTCGTAGACTAGTTTGATACTTTCAATCTTTGGATGATTGAAGTATTTGGGTATTTCATTTGAGTTTTTTTTTTTAATATTCTTTTGATGTTATGACTTATGAATTGTCATTATGTCATTTATTTGGATGTGTTATTTGATTGAATGTTGAAAACAGCCTCATTAAAATTGTCAAATTGTAAGTGTGCTACTGTTTTTTTCGCGACCGCCTAGCGCCGCCTAGATTCCGCCTAGGCGCCGACTAGGCCGCTTAGGCGCTAGGCGCTGTCCGGGCGCCCGACTAGCGCCTAGCGCCTACTGCAACCATGAGTATACCTAGTACAGATCGAGCATTAAAAGTTGAAGAATAATGAAGGTAAATGAGGGCCAATATAATGGCCGGGGAAGAAAAAGGAAAATTGATATCAATATATGTACCTTTCATATAACAAGCTACAACCCCAATCTGCTGAAGCTTTCAAATTCATAAATTGCACCTCAAATCTTGAATAATCCTTTATAGCTTTAGATTCACCCCACAAACTCCTAACTGGTATGAAGGCAAAGCATGCGTGTCCTTTGACATCATCATTTTCACTAGCTAAGCCCGCAATTACACACTCTTTTTGGAGAACTTCATTTTCACTATCTTTGTGTGAAAATTTGGCTATGATTGTACAGTGCTTCATACTCTGATCAATGTCTTGGTATGAATGTGGCCCCCATATATCACCTTCTAAACTGAGAAAACATACCACAAACCCCACAAACTTTTTACTATACCAGGGAGAATTGAGATGAATAGAGATTCCATTTGACTGATAGCGCCGGAATTTAAATGATCTCAACATTTGATTCATCTTCAATTTGTTGTCCTCCGCCGCCGTGATAAGATAGCTGACAAGTAAAGGAGTCTTTCTAATAATGAACTCTTTAGATAAAAAAGTTCCAACTTCAGGATTATCATCATCAGAATATGAGACCGAATATAATTCCGAGCACTCGATTGCTAGAGCTATCTTGAAATGACAATCTGCATATAGTTCCCTTATATTTGCTGGAAGTTTTGGTAGTTGGTTAGGATTTTGACAATCTGTGATGTCAAGGTATTGAAGGGAAGTGAGTTGACTGAAACTTTCAGGTAAAGAATCAAAATGACTTCCTTGGAGATTCAAGTATTCCAACGAGATCAAGCCTTCAAGATTTTTTGGCAATGACTTTAGATTTCTGCAGTTTTTAATTGTAAGAATTTTAAGCTTTTTCAACTCACATAAGTAGTTATGAAGGCTTTCAAGATGTTTACAATCATCCAAACTTAGCTTAGTGAGGGCATCCAGTTGTTGGATCGATGGTGGCACTTGTATGATTCCAACTCCTCTTAAATCCAATTCCACTAGGCGTGACGTTTTTGCCTTAAATTCTGGAAAAAAATTTAATTTTCTGCAAAGGGCAAGATCCAGAGACTCCAGAGGTGAAACATGATTGAAGCTGGGAAGCTTCTTAAGGTTTATGCATGCTCTTAAATTCAAAAAAATAAGCTTCTTAAGATTTCCAATAGAAGAGCAGATCTCTTTTAATTTTTCACAGTAACTGAGGTTTAATCTCTTCAAATTTGGTATCCTACCAAAATCTGGGGTTTTTGACAAAGAGGAGGAAGAGCTGAGATCCAAAATGGTCAATTTGTTTAAATTCTGCAACAAAATTAAAGATAGAGAATAGAACAAGTCTAAAGTCTTTGATAAAATTAAATAAATAAAAGTAGTAACGAAAAGATACACATTCATCATATGATCAATCATGTAGCAAGCTAAGTCAGATTAGAATGATATATATACCTGAGTTAAGTTGCACTCTGATAGAGAACTCTTCCGCAAAGAAAGACCAACAAGCTTGGATGATTTAAATCTTTGTGGTAATGAAGTGAAATGATAGAATTCATATTCAAGCCACCTCAAACTGCTAGGAAGATAATTCCTCTTCACATGGAAAACTTTATCATCACCACCACCAGCTTTAAGCATCTTCAAATTTCTCATACTTCCGAAACTAATTTTAAAAGTACTGCTAATATTCTCAGGATCAACCCATTCCCACCAACTAATGCCTTCTATGTGATGATGATGATGATTATTCTGAAAGAAGAAAACAGTAAAGCACACGTACGCTTTAATCTTTTTTAATGCATGCACTCAATACATAATAATAATAAGAATATCAAAAATAAATTAAACCTTCAAGTTATTACGTTAATTAGCTTATGAATTAGGAAGGAATATAATTAGACTAGGAAATTAGAAAGTACACCATATATGCAATTATACATGCATAAGCTTCATTTTAATCAACTAACTTTCAATTCCTATAGCATCATGCATATATGCCTTACCACTGTTCTGCATAACACATCTTTAACCTCCTTAAAGTACCGCCATATCCTTCTCATGGGGTTCTCCTTTCTTGCAATATGCCAACCCATTTCTTGGATTAGATCATGCATCTCAATTCTTCCATTTTGAATTGATATAAGAGATTTATTAATGAGCACAGATAGATTATTCTCAAGCACACCTTTTACATATTCTTCCCTCCAGTTTCTGAAAAAACATGCAATATGTAAAAAGTAATTTTTGTTGTCCGGATCTAGTCCTTCAACACTTATCTCAAGCACACCAATAATTCGATCTTTGGGGGTGTGGAGGGACTCAACGTCCTTGAGTTTCCCCAAGATGATTTTCCAGTTCTCAGTTTCTTGTCCACAAAGATGAGAGCCCAAAAGTTTAAGAGCTAATGGAAGACCCATAGCATAGCGCACAATTGAATCCATAGCATTGCGCACAATTGATCCACATAGTTCGTCTTCCAAACCAGTCTTAGGAATTTTCCTTTTGAAGGCATTCCAATAAAATACTTCAATTGCTTCCTGGTCATCCAATTTATTTACTTCATATATATACTTTTCTTTAACTTGATGGGAAAGTAATACTTGCTTATCTCTTGTAGTTATAATGACTCTACTTCCCCTACCAAACCAAGTACGACTTCCCGCTAATTTCTCTAATTGATCCACTCTATCCACGTCATCAAGAACAATCAAAACCTTTTTCCCACATTTCTTTAACTTTTCCGTTCCATCGAACTCATTTTTTATTTCCATCTCCTCCTCTAAAATGGCTTTTAAAAGGGTCTTTTGCAATGCAATGATATCACCTTGGTTTTCTCTAATCTTATGAACACACCCACCTCCCTCAAATTGGTTCAAACATCTGTTAAAAACAGTCATTGCAATTGTTGTCTTACCAATGCCACCCATACCCAAAATCCCAATGAATTCAACCTCATCAGCTTCTTGTCTCAACAACTCACCTACATATTCAACTCTAGATTTCAATCCCACGTAATTGTTTTCAATCAAAGTTGAGGTGGATTGATTCACTCGAGTAACCATGTCTTTAGTAACTCTTTCGAAACATTTTGCATAGAACCTGAAAATATTGAACACAATAATTGAAGCAAGTGAATACTCATACTTAATAGAATTCAAGCAATGCTACTCAGATAATAGGACAGATCAGACATATTAATGTAAAATTTCAATTCCATACTTCATCAAACAAGTTGTAGGTGTTCTTCAATTCTTAACGAATGGGGTAGCCAACTACCATGTACTATGATGACATCTCTGTTAGCACTTTAAATAGGTGGTCACGAGATCGAATTACCTTATAAAGAATTATGCATTTTATGTTTTCAAAAAAAATATTATTGCCTTTTATAAAATTTGCTCTATATCTTTCAATTTAAACAATATTGATCGCCCAACTGTCTAGATATTGTTAATTTAGTCTCTCATGAGTCCGGACATAATGCTCTCAAACTCAACTCGTTAGCATATAAGTACCCAAAATTGTTGTTCCTTATAAACTTAGCTACTAACAGAGTTAAAGAATACTGTTTCTGACTCTCATGAAAGATTAAATTCATAATACTTTCAACAACTGAGAGATCAAATTTGTTTAAATTAGCAGTTAAGAACCAAAATACAGAATTAATAATAACTGAGCTACATTTCCCAAAAAAATAATAATAATAATAAATAACTGATGAGCTACTAAAAATGTAGTTTAATTTCTCCCTATTGAGTCAATCGTTATATTGTGCACCAGGGCACACAATGCATTGGGCGTCCAAAAAAATCTCAGTTTCGTAGTTACAGAATTGTATAGTAAATACACATAAACTCCTAATATAATACACATAATCTAACATAATACATAATACACATAAACTATTAACGTAATACACATAAACTCTTACACAAAATACACATGAACTCTTAACATAATACACATAAATAACATAATAAACATAAATTCTTAGCAGAGTACACATAAACATAAAAAAAAATAATAATAAAAAAATAAAAAAATAAAAAATAAAATTATAACGGGATTGGACACACGGAACAGTGTCCGTCGCGTCAACTCCTCCAACTTATAAAAACAACTAACGTCGTTTTGGGTCAGGGCGCACAATGCATTGTGCGCCCTGGTGCATGATATAATTTGTCCTATTGAGTATCTATGGAAATAGAGATGTCAAAGTAGACCGAAACTCGCGGGTAAGGGTCTAAAATTTTGGCCTGCTACACAACAAGACAACAACCTTGTCGTGCCACTATTCAAGTGAGTCCATCCCTTCTCATGAGTCAGTGTGAACAAATCTAGTCTGTTAAAAGAAATTCTATACGAGATGTGCACTTGAAAGCTCAAAATCATGCATTTGAAGGTACAAAAATGTGCACTTGAAGGCAAAAATTATGTACTTGAAGGTAAATAGATGTGCAATTGATGCAATTTATGATACAAAAATTGGAAGTTATTCAATAAGTGTTATATATTAAATAAGTTATTGTGCACTTGAAAGCAAAAAAAATATGAACTTGAAGACATAAAAATGTGCACTTAAAGACAAAAAATGTGCACTCGAAGGCAAACATTCACTTGAAGGCTACAAAGCATGCACTTGATGGCTAAAAACATGGACTTGAAGGAAAAAAAATGTTTCATTAAAATGCTACGTATTGTTTTTACCCAGTAGTAAGACACGCATACACTTGTAGGCATGAAATTGAGCACTTAAAGGCATAAAGATAATAATCACTAGAAGGCAAGGGAGAAAAAAAAAAAAAAAAAAAAACACTAGAATGGAAAATTCTAAGGAAATTAGCTGTGTACTCTTAGAAAGGAAAACATGCACTTGAAGGCTAAAAATATGCACTAGAAGGAAAAAAAAAAAAAAAAAAAAAAGATTCAACGGAATGCTAAGTATTATTTTTTTTAACACAATAGTAAGACAAACATGCACTTGTAGATATGAAATTGAGCACTTGAAAACATAAAGAGGATCACTAGAAGGCAAGGGGAAAAAAAAGTCACTAAAAGGGAAATTTTGAAGAAAATTAATTGTGCACTTCTAGAAAGGAAAACATGCACTTAAGGCTACAAAACGTGCACTTGAAGGCAAAAATTTTGCACTTAAAGGCACAAAGAATGTGCACTCAAAGGAGAAACCAAGTACTGAAACAAAACAGATGCACTTGAAGAAGAGAAATATGTACTTGAAAAATAAAAAATGTGCACTCGATGAAGAAAAATGTGCATTCGAATACAAATGACAATCTGACTTACTCAAAATTACAATTATGTCACCACGCATTTTTTAGTCAATATTCAATCTGAGCTATTTCTTGGACTACATCTAAGGTTAACAATTGTGCATATTTTTTCTTTTATTATATCTGTAGAAGCATTTGTTGCATTTGATCCAAAATCTATATACATAGACACACATTATAATTTTAAAAATTTTATACACAAAAAAAAAAAAAATATATAATATTACTTTAGGTTAAATTATTAGAATAAAATAATAGTATAATAAATTTTTTTAAAATTTTGAAGGGAGGGCGGTGAGCCCGCATGAGACAGGCAAATTATTGTATGGACCATGGTCCATACAATGTTATGTGCACCATAACAAAAAGTATATTTTTAATATACCAAATGTACATTATTTTTGTATTGAATGTACATTATAAAATATAATGTACACTCAGAACAAAAATAATGTATATCCCTTATATACAATATACATTATTTATGTACTGAATGTACATTATTTTTGTACTAAATGTACATTATTTTATAGTAGACAAAATATGATCCACATAACTTGTGTGGACCATGGTCCACACAATAATGATTGCATTAGACAAGCTAAAGTTGCATAATCCTAGCTCTTTTATGGGCCGGCCTGCCAAGGTCAACCAAAAAAGTTTGTGGTGGGATGAGTTGATCCACATTAAGGTTAAAAAGATGCACTAATATTAATATTAATAGAAAAATACTAATTACTTGCCAACTACCCTATAGCGTGATGGTATCCTAGTTATTATGGTTTCAAATGAATGATCATAGGTATGTGGTTCTAGGCATTAGTTTTTCTTTTTTAATCTTAATTTTAATTTTATTAATGTTTAGATGAACTGTGCTATATCTTGGAGTAGTGATTTGTCCGTGATAAAATTAGGCGTGTGTAGCATATTAATATTAATATTAATTAGCGATAAGAGTCAAATAGACCCTAAAACTATAAGCTAAAGTGCAATTCCCTCTATAAACAAAACAACAACAACAACAAAAAAAAAAAAAAAAAAAAAAAAAAAAAAAAAGCTTCAATTATACCCTTCATCTCTTCACTTGTATGCAATTAAATCCATAAATTTTTAAATTTGTGCAATTAACTCAATTTGCACATAAACACAATGTAATAGCAGGTAAAATGAATTTTTGTAATAAAATTTACAAAACAATTAAAAAAAAAAAAGTCATCTTCTGATCTTCTCCGTCAGTTGTTTTACTCTCACAAATGTCGTCAATGGGCAATGGGCGTTTGGTTGGAGAGAATTTAAATTCCATTCACACTTAATTCCTACCTAATTCCAAAGGTCACTAAATTCCTTAGTTTGGTTGGAAGGAATTGCAATTCCACGAAATTGCAATTTCCTCATTTTCATGGAATTAAAATCCTATGCCCCCCTTGAGATTTTAATTCTATGGATCTTGGGAAGAAAAAAAGATAATGATGAGACAAAATTATTCTCCCCTTTTTAACTTAAAATTTAATGCTTGACAACAACAATGGGTATTTTGGACTTTATACTATTTATTTCCTTTCAATTCACATGTATATCAAACATTGAAATTGAAATTCTTAGTAATTTTATTCCTGTAAATCAAACAATGAAATTCCCAGTAATTCATCCTCATGAAATTGCAATTCTTTTCCCACGTAATTCCCTCATTTCAATCAAATGCCTATAAGTTAAATCTCTGATTTATTTATTTGTATTTTTTGAATCAAATATATTATATTCTTGTCATCATATATATCATCACGGTGGATCATGTTATTGTGCGCGCAGAGTTCATAAGCATAGTCTGTGGATTAGAAGAAGGAAGCGGCTACATAGATGAGAAAACCAGCATAGTTTACCCATATCCCTTTTAATTATTTAATAAGAAAATGACAATCATTTCTATCTAGAATAAAACGGCCGGTTTTAGAAACATTTTTTGTGCTACAAATACAATAGATTCTGTAATGTCTTTTTGTATTGAGAAACACGAATTCTTTTTCTTTCTTATCACTACTCGAATTATATAAATAAATAAATAAAACTTTGTAGTAAAAAACTAAAGCAAACGACATGTATTAAAATGAATGAGCAAAGAAAAAGAATATATATATATATATATATACCCGTTAAATTGATCATTGAGATGATACCCTGAAATTTTGCTAGCCTTTTTCAAAGCTCCCTTCCACCTTTCCACCTTTGCCTTATCATCCTTGTAGCGCTCTTCATGTTCTGCAAATGGTTCCTTAAAACTTGCTGTTTGATTGCCCACCTCTCTAGGCTCCACATCATAGAAAATGGGTATCATCATTTCGACGCCGTACTCTTGTTGGCATTCCATGATTGTTGCAATTTCTTCCAAACACCATTTTGATGATGCATAACTTTGGGAGAATACAACAATTGCAAATCTTGATTCCCTGATAATTTGTAACAGCTTCGCAATACAGTTTCCTTTCTTCAGTCCCACATCATCTTTGAAGGTACGAATTGATTTACTTTCTAGATTTTTAAAAAGACAATCTATAAAAGTTTTACGAGTATCTTTACCACTAAAACTCAAGAAAACATCATACTCTATTTTGCGGACTGATTGGGAAGGAGTAGAAGAGGTAGAAGCCATCAAGCCATAGATTTATTTGATATGGCCGGAAATTGGGTTCCTCAGAAACATAGATCCGAGGGAAGTATAATTAGGTAGAGTGGAGAATCAAAAGCATACGAACAACAAACTAATAAGGTAGCAAATCGGAGTTAAGAATACATATAGGAATAGGAATTACTTGAATTGCTTAAGTCGTCTCAGTCAACACCCAAATTAAATTTCTATGGAATTGGGTCACATGGGTAGGCGCCACTCCACCTCAAAAGTTGAAGGAATAATTCATAAAAGACAACTGGTTCTAGAAAACAAACGACTACTGTTGGGTCTTAATTATTAGTCTACACTAGGACCACTATTATTTAAAATAAAAAATAAAAAAATTCTTCCCAATGGGAATAATTAAGTAAGTGTACTTAATTATTCCCATTCGGAAGAATTAAGTAGTGGTTCTAGACTCTACTCCTATCAAAAAAACAAAAAAATAGTGGTTCTAGTGGACACTAATAATTAGGACCACTATTTAATTATGGTTCCGTTTGACAAAGCTTTTTATGAACTTATAATTTATTTAAAGTTACTAAGAAGTTATAAGCTCTGTTTGGTAATGTTTTTAAAATAAGCATCTAGTTTAAAATAAGAGTATATTTTGAAACACTACTTTATGTAGCGTTTTAAAATAAGTTAATAACTTTCTAACTTTTTTTTCATCTTTGTCCTTGTTATTTTAAAGAAATGACATTATTTATCATTCCTAATTAAAATTATTTTCTCTATTCCTTTATTCGCAATTTTCACCGCAATTATTATTATTATTATTATTATTATTATTATTATTATTATTATTATTATTATTATTATTATTATTATTATTATTATTATAGATGAAGGAGATTCGCAACAATATTGCCACTTGGGATGCTAGATCATGATCGATTATGCTAATAATTTTATTTCAAAATATTTTTTTTAAGATAAAATGTTAAATTTTATTATGTTAACAAACTAATTTAAATTCTATGAAGATGTTTTTTTTTTTTTTTTTGTCTTTTTACATTTATCAACTTATCAAAAAGTTAATTTTACCAAACACTTTCAAACATAACAGCTAGTTTAAGAGCTCTTCAATTTTCAGCTCATAGCATATAGCTTTTCAACTTTCAGTTCTTTTTAAGCTTTCTGCTACCTTTTCAGCTAGGTATGTCAAACATAGCCTATTACTCAAAATTGTTGAAAAAAAATCAGCACTCAACTTGCAACGTTCAAATTATTTAGGAACAACTTTTATTTATTATTTATATGTGAGAAATTAAAATTACATTTTAATTCATAAAATTATAAGACAAATATAAATGAATTGTAAAATTTGTTATAAATATTTTATTAGTGGCCATTAAACCATTAGACCTTTCAATAGCCTAGCCTTTAATCATGTATTGATGTTGAGTATGTGAAAGGTTGTATGAAACCTTATATAATGGAGTGAAGGCTAATGAAATAACACACATATTGTTGTGCCCTACATTTGGTGTTCTTCTTCTTCTTCTTTTTCTCTTCTTTACGTATACACGCATACATATATATGAACCTCCGGGCGAGTTACCGTGCAAACATCACGTGAGAACAGAGCTAGTTGATAGGTCAAATTATAACACGTTATCAGCACGAGTCTCTATCGTAATCTCCGGTGAACGGTACTATTGGTTCATTTTTCCTATGAATTTTTGTTTTTGAATCATATGCCATTGTTTATATATAAATATTATGTATATATATGGCTATGAGTTTGGTTTGGAACCTTCAATTATTGTTTCTATGAAATGAGTGATAATTCTTCATATTTGTTAACAACTTTTGAGTTATGAACTCATCATCAAGACATGGTTAAGAATTTTGGTAAATACTTGAATTTGTAAATACATATTATTTTTATTTATTCTCTCAATTCATGTATATGAGTTAGGTTCTACATATGCCATGATGCTTTGAAATGGTAAATACATATGGTTATATGTTAAATTGTATGTATGTACGTGCAAATGTAAATGTGTTCATCTGTATATATATATATATATGGGTTAAATATACACGTGTTTGATATTTACCAGTGAAACAATGATTCTTGCACTATTTCCCATTATTGGAATTTACTATATTCACTTAAAATGACTTCATGCCTTAGGAAAAGATAATATTTACTATATTGATCATGTAGATTGATTATGTACTATTCCCCATTTTTGACATTTATGCTTCTTTTGAAAAATATATATAAAATGACTACATGGAGAAGTATGAATCTATATGAGAACATGTGAAATATTCCATTTTCACATTCTATTTGAAATTTGCTTACAAGACATGTTTTTCACATGAATATCAACTACTGTTTCTATAAGTATAAGTTGCATCAAATGATGATCTTATGGATCATGCCTTTCATTAAAAATGTAAATTTATTGAGCTCACTTATGAATGAAGCAATTATTTAGCTTGAGCTCTTGATATTGAAATATATTCGGCATCTAAAGAATTGAGTCAAGTTTTTTGTTGCTAAGTCATAGAGCACCGATGCCTAAAAGGCTCAAGCTGTCATTTTCATACGTCACCACTTGAACCACAACCTTAAAAAAATGAGTGTCTGATTGAAAAAGAACCCCTTGAAATAATGGAAGTCCCTGAAGGACTATTCCGACCAGAAGTCATCAAATGTTCTTCCTTAGACACATTTTGACTAGTTTAATCTCATGTTTAATTTTGAGATTATAATGTAAGTCAGTGATTAATTACAATTCAGCTATGCACAAAATAGTCTCGTAAGTGAAACTCTAAACAAGAAGTTTCAGAGAAATATTTAATTGGAAAGACATTGCCAACTTTTCATGAGAGTAATTTGTACTCCAACAGTAGTACAAGACAACAAATTATGAGAAGCATCCTAAGCTGATTTTAGCACCCCTTGTGGCTAAGAAACATAACTAGTTGTTGATGAAGAATCAAAATGCATGTCTGGTCGATTTTTGCATAGGTGCTTGAAGCACATAATGTTACCCAGTTGAGCAACTTTATAAGGGGTTGCGGTCGAAATTATAATCGGTGTGGTATGAGTTTCGAGCTCAGAATAAGAAAGAAAGTGATCAAGATATTCAAGGACGACCAAACTCATCGAGGCAAAATCCTAGCCAGAAGCAGGTTTGCTAACAATGTGGGTTTGAAGGGCATTGATCCCTACGTGCCGCACACCAAAGCATTTGGTCGTCGAAGAATGTACCTCATCTTGATGATTTTTAGGTAATTTTCCTGAAGCAAATACTGTGATAAATGATGATAATGAAATGATGAGGTATTGATGAAGAAATGATTGGTGTCATGATAATGTTTGAGTAATTCATGAAAATATATTCATGGATAAAAAGGTTAGCTAGCTCATGCCTGAAGCATGAAGCATCCGAGAAGTTAACTTATGCCTGAAGCACCCGAAAAGTTAATTCATTGCCGCAATAACTTATTGCGTAACCGAGTAGTATATACACTCCAAATGTGTTTTTGAGTGCAAAGTTATTTTTTTTGGAGGCAAATTATTATGAGTGCAAAGTGGCTTTACTTTGCTGATTTTTCTTGGTGTTTTTACTACTCGAATTGACTATTCAAAAAGTTTACCTCTCTAAGCTTACATCTCTTAGCTTACCTCTGTAATCTTACTTCTCGATTTACTTCTTGAATTTTTACTTTCTGGAACTTTATTTTTCAGAGGAAGTTTACTTCTCAGAATTAATTCTATTAGTTTGCATGCTTATTTATGGAATTTTTTTTCTCATGCATGCAACATGACTCTCATATGAAATTGACTGGTTGCTAATTCAAGATTGAATTATTGTCAATCCCGGAAGGATTGCTATTATCAACAAATTATGAGAATCTTCTTTTGACTAAATTTATGATGTCAACATGACTAAATTCTCTCAGAATATGACTTAGTGCAATTCTGTGTTGTTTAGGGATTTGTATACTCCTTTATAAAAATGATCTTTGACTTATTGTCATACATGATATGATTGATTTAGATGTTATTGGTTTGGAAGATAGAAATGAATTATATCATATCAATTTGCCTGAAGCAAACAAAGGAATAAATTATTTCATATTAGTTTGCCTGAAGCAAATGAGGGAGTGAATTATATCATGTGAATTTGCACGAAACAATTCCCAAACCAGTGAGTGACCTAATGTAAAGTTCAGGATAAGGATTTTTAGAAGATCTTGAAGATCTATTTTATTTGACAAGCTTCACAGCTTCCCTATGATTGTTGTGTACCCTTAGCTTGTAATATCATTTGATATGTATGCTTTCATATATGATTATATATTTTCTTGTTGGGGACATCAGTTTTATATGCTATTGTGGTTATCACAATCTCACCTACTGCATATCATAATTATTCCCCCTAGAACCTAGTACGTGGTATAAAACCAAACATTTCCCATCTGCGTTTTATTCACAGTGTGCAGTCTTTTTCTTATATCACCACCATAAAGTACCTTTGTGGGCATGTATATATTGATTATAAACCTCCGTCTGTTATTTAAATTCTTAGAGCCCATGATAAGGGATCAATATATAATTAGGTACGCTGATTGCACACTTTATGAAGATCATTTCACGGCATTAGGGGGAGATAAGAGCTCAAATTTAATAGAATGCCAAGAAATTCTATGGATGATTGATGAAAAAGATCTTCAATATTTAAATCCACGTACTAGGTAGACTGAACTAGAAGTTCAGAAGAAGTAAACTGAACTAGAAGTTCAGAAGATAATTAATCTGTCAATATATATATATATTGATCATAAAAAGAGTGACTAGGTCCTACATATTTTCCCCAACTTGGACCATATGTATCTACCAATGCTCCTTGACGCCAGAAGCGTGGAGACATGTTGGTATAATCCGCGGAAAGCTAAATCTAGTAGAAAATGGTGTCACTCTTGAAATCGCTTAAAGAAGTATGTCCTGAAGACATTCGTCCAGAAGGCGAAAATTCCAGTAAAATTTTAGGTGCACCGAAAATCATAATACTGGGGATGCGGAACGACCAGATAAAAATATCTTTGGGAAATGTCTAGAGTCTGGTTGAATTAGAAATTGCCATTATTTTATATATATGGGAGAAATTTATGAAAAATGTTATAGTTGTCGACAACAGAATTGCCTTTACAAATTGTTCTCGTTATATGAGAATCTGGATCCAGAGCTAGGCACCAGTTGTGCCTTGGTATTTTTTATGTATAACAGAGCAATTAAGGCATGTACAGCTCAGCTCGCTAAAACTGTATTCTCTTTATAACACGTACACCATTTAATGTTAACCTTGTAGGTTACAAATGGGTGTTTGTACGAAAGAGAAATACAAACAATATGGTGGTATGACATAAAGCGAGACTGGTAGCTTAAGGATTTTCGCAGAGACCCTGAATTAATTTTGATCAAATATTCTCTCCCACAACATATGGCATTACGTTCCGCAAATTAACATTATTGGCAGTGAATTATGAATTTAGATATGCAGTTGATGAACGTCATGACTGTAATTTACTGGTCATTAGACGCTAATATTTATTTGTAAATCCCCGATGGATTCAACACTTTTGGAATGTGGAAAGTGAAAATCGCAACGTGTATCATTAAATTACAAAATTCTTTGTAAGAATTGAATATTATTTACTGAGTGTTTTTCCTCCTAAAGAAGGAATGCATGTTGAATGATTGAGTTGACTATGTATTTTTCCTCCCGAAGAAGGAATATGCAAATATGTACCATTACATGTTCGTTAAAGAATTGCTAATGGAGTTATTTGTTTATTATCATAGTCGATATTGATGGTTTAAATATCATTGAAACACATAGAGAGCTTGGTGATATCAGCTCATGCCGAAAGACGGAGTTTTGAAATAAAAGACTTAGAAACCCAAGTATTGTCTCGACCTGAAGATCGAGCTTCTCCTTGAAGAAGTTTTATACACCAGTTAGCCTATTTGAAAAATGTCTTGAAGATGTTTTATATGGATAAGTATTATTTACTTATCACACTAACGGTTGTCCAATAATCTCTTGAAGTAGATAAAGGACAATTTAGACTCGAAGATGATAATGAGGATATTTTGGGACTGGAAGTCCATTACTTGATATTTTTATTGGAGCACTATTATAGAACTAGAAGTTCTATAGTCGCATCAGGCCTGATATTGAATTTGCGATGAAATTGCTAGCAAAGTTTAGTGCTCCCTCTACAATGAAATATTAGAATTGTGTTTAACATATCCTCCAGCATTTTCGAGGTATAAAGATTTTGACGTTTATGTGAGAAACCAATATGTGATTTTGATGGCTACTTGGGTGCTGGCTCTTTTAGATCCCTATGATGCCAAGTCTCAAACTGGTTATGCTAAGTTTTACCCCCAATGTCCCATATGAGGATGAATAAAGATTGTGTTGCCCGAACAAGTAATAGTTTTGTTAAGGGGAACCTTACAAAACATATTGCATGCACCTAAGTCCTTTTACACACATGAACTCCAGAAGAGTGGTAAAATTCTTGTTGAGAAAGTTTTCGCTAGTGAATAATCTTGCAGATATATATGTTCACTAAGTCTCTCCCTACACCCACTTTTGAGTAATATGTTTATAAAATTGGGATGCGTTGGCTAAGAAGATTGTTATCTTCAGGGGGAGCGACAACCCCTAGCTGTGCTAGAATGGGCAATCTAGAGGACTTTTGAAATCCTAAAGATTATGCTATGAAAGCATATGATTGTACTCTTTTTCCCTTAGCTAAGTTTTTTCCCACAGGGTTTTCTTAGGCTAAGGTTTTTAATGAGGCAATCGATGTTGGTGCACTTGAGTGGATAGTCCTGAAGACCTTTGAAATCTTGAAGATTATGCCCGGAAGGCTTATGGTTGTACTCTTTTCCTTAGCTAAGTTTTTTCCCATTGGGTTTTCTTAGGCTAAGGTTTTTAATGAGGCAACCGGTGCAACACAATGGTTTGACATACTTCGTGTACTCTTTTCCTCGTCTAGATTTTTCCCACAGGGTTTTTCTATCGAGGTTTTTAACGAGGCATGAGTATAGTTATTTAATGGCCAAGGGGGAGTGTTATAAATATTTTATTAGTGGCCATTAAACCATTAGACCTTTCAATAGCCTAGCCTTTAATCATGTATTGATGTTGAGTATGTGAAAGGTTGTATGAAACCTTATATAATGGAGTGAAGGCTAATGAAATGACACACATATTGTTGTGCCCTACATTTGGTGTTCTTCTTCTTCTTCTTTTTCTCTTCTTTACGTATACACGCATACATATATATGAACCTCCGGGCGAGTTACCGTGCAAACATCACGTGAGAACAGAGCTAGTTGATAGGTCAAATTATAACAAAATTAACTTTTGATTAGTCACAATTTTAATACTCTAAATATTTTAAGAATTATAATTATAGATGATAATAATTATTTAAAAAAACTTGATAATAAATTCTAACCTTGTATTAAATATATAATGCTGCATTCATATGTGTACACTATCAGTTATCAACAGATGCATTAATAAATATATTTAAATGTATTGTGATGATTACGGGAATGTGATTGCATTTTTTTCCCTTTGATATGGTCAGAACTTGGGTTCCTCATAAACATATTTTAATTTAAAATATTCCGCATCTAGCTAATATATAATTACTTAAAAATAAAAAAAAAAAAGGGGGGGGGGGGGGGGGCGGGGGGGCATTGGGTCCCATTACTGTTGAATTCTACCAAAAAACAAATTACACTAGGCCAAAATAAAATTAACTGATTAGCCTAAAAAATGATAGATGTATTCGTATGAAGTATATAAATTAAAACTAGTCATGTATACAAATTTTTTTGGGTAAAGAAAAATGAAAGAATAAAAATAAAAGAAAATTATACTTTTTACCTCTAAGTTATATGATAATTGTAAAATTTGTCATGATTATTGGTCATGCTCATTCTTCGTCCCTATGTTATCGTTGGCGTTGCATTTTTTGTCATTTTACTAACAAAACATTATGATGAAATTTACAATGTTATTATAGCTTAGGACAAAAATTGAGCACGAAAAGTTAATAAAAAGATGAAAAGTGTAGCACTAATGATAGCTTAAGCCTTAAGGGCAAAAAGTGAGCACAATTATTAATTATTGACAAATTTTATAATTATTTTATAACTTATGGACGAAAAGTCCATTTTTTATATCAATTAAAAAAATATAAAGCCAAAGTCCAAGATGGTACGATTCACCAAGCTTGAACCAACTTACTCCTTACTCTTTGTTCGTGAAATAAAAAATTTAAGATGGTAAGATTTACACACAAATCAGTCCCTTAAAATCGAATATAAATCATCAACAAATAATCATGTGAATACAAAGCCAAAATTCAAGGATTACATGAGCTACTTACCACTCCTTTTTCTTAAACTCAAAACGAAAACATTAATAAGAACAAAATCACACCGCGCCAAGCACGCTAGAAACCTTTGAATTAAAAGAAATGGTGGAAGATATCACACATGCTACAAGATCCACTGCAAAAATACTACCAACACACTTCAAAAACATTGATATTAGCACACAACTATACCAACTGCAATTTCAACCACACTTGAGGGAAAAAAACACCCTGCAAATTCCATAGCAAAAATACAGCGCGCCATAGTACTCCAAACACGCCTCAAAAGACACTAGCATTACCCTGCAAAATGGACACCACAAAATGAACAAAATCAAAGCCAACACATTCCAATACCACTCAAATTGCAATGCCACTAGTAAAACACTTACTATGTCTCCGAATGCCCAGTAAAACCACTCATCAGCAACATTTCCAAAAACACTGTATGAGTGCACATTTATTTGAATGAACTTTAGCTTCACAATCTTCATTAGCAGGATTTGGTTCACTTTGTTCTGCTTCCCCAGTACCTCGCTCAAGTTGAGTGAGCATAGATCTCTCTTTAGCTTCACAATCTTCGGCAAGATTTGGTTCTCTATGTTCTACTTTCCCAATACCTAGCTCAAGTTGAGTTGAGTGAGCACAATCTTCATTAACAGGATTTGGTTCACTCTCTTTAGTTTGGCCATGTACACATAGCAGTGTTAATAAATAAATGTTATAGTGTTTATGTTTTGGTTTCTATTACTCATTTTATGTTTTCTTCAATTTTATTTGATACAATTTACTCTTGAAATATTTTTATTATATCATAGTAATTTATATTATTCTCAAAGTAACTAATTCATACATTTGTAGGTTTTTTGTTAAAAAGAAACTTTTACACAATCTTTTAAGAATGGAAAAAGTTCATGCAAAACTAAAAGCTAAGAGAGGAGTTCAATTAGAAACTATTTGTATTAGTACAGAAAAGCATGAGTTATAAGCCATGAATGCAACCAATTACACTAACAAAAGTTTAATTCCAAATTGACAAAACAATTATATTTATTAATAGTATAAGGGCAAAATTAACAATTATTTGTAAAACTAGTATTTTCTATGCGCGACATAAAAAATGATGCAATCTTAGTACTCTATATTAAAATCTTAGATTTATTTAGATTTTAAATATTTATATTGTTAAAATCTTAGATTTATTTAGATTTTAAATATTTATATTGTTGTACAACAACAACCACTATGAGAGGTTGCTCCCACACTGCCGCTAGTGAGACTCGATCCTTGGTCATTCTTCAAAAATTTCACCTCTATGACCAATTGAGCTGCCCATACGAGTTATTGTTATTGTTATTGTTATTGTTATTGTGGAAGAAGATAAGAAAATATATGGTGAATGCATGTGTATGGCAACCATAGTTGGAAAAGATAACGGAAGTTATAACGTGGGGGTATTTTTGACCAAAATATTGTATGGTAAAACTCTTATAGCATAATGTATTAAAAAATAATAATAATAAAGGACATAAATGAAAGGTATAACTTCCATTAACATGTATAAATCATTTATTCACAATCAACATAATAATAGCATAATTAAACTTTAAAAATATTAAATATTACATTGTATAGTTATACTTACATTTTTAATCAAATTAATTCTGAGCTCAAGAACTTTTTTTTTTTTTTTTTTTTTTGGTTTCCACAACCATTACTTTCTTTGCTAATTCAGAGGATGTCAAAAATTTAAATGGTAAATTTGTTAAATTAATAATAGTTCGTGCATCGCACGAGACAATTACTAGTATTCATAATATCTACTCAACAACATGATATACCATTATACCAACATCCTTGATTGGAACATGACTTAAACCTATGTACTTTTGTTTGGAAGGACCACAACGATGCCATCAAATCACAAGGTACTTGACTGCTAACTTATAATCAATTCAATATGCCAGATTAGGTTTTATTTTTTAGAAGCCAAATAATATAGGTAGATATAATTGTCACCAAACATGTAGTACACAAATTTGATATTAAGGCTCTGTTTGACAAAGTTTATTTAGGAGCTTATAGCTTATTTTAAGATACTAATAAGCTATAAGCTTTGTTTGGTAATGTTTATAAAATAAGCTAGTAGCTTAAAATAAGAGCTTATTTTGAAATGCTACTTTAGGTAGCTTTCAAAATAAGCTAAGAGTTTCCTAACTTTATTTCAATCTTTGTCCTTATTATTTTAAAGAAATTACATAATTTACCCTTCCCAATTCTCTTCTCCTTTATCCGCAACTTTTTTCGCAATTATTATTATTATTATTATTATTATTATTATTATTATTATTATTATTATTATTATTATTATTATTATTATTATTATTGTTATTATTGTTATTATTATTATTATTATTATTATTATTATTATTATTATTATTATTATTATTATTATTATTATTATTATTATTATTATTATTAGATTCACAACACTATTACTATTTCATTATGGGATGCTAGATCATGATTATGCTAATAATTTTATTTCAAAATGTTAATTTTTTAAGACAAAATGTTAAATTTTTTATGTAATCAAACTAATTTAAATTTTATGAAGATGTCCTATTGTGTCTTTTTACATTTATCAGGTTATCAAAAAGTTAATTTTACCAAACACTTTCTAGCATTACAGCTAGCTTAACAACTCTTCAATTTTTAGCTCCTAACTTATAGCTTTTCAACTTTTAGCTCCTTTTAAGCTTTTAGCTATCTTTTTCAGCTAGATATGCCAAATATAGCCTAAATTGTCAAATTTTAAATATTATTTAAATTGGTATAATTGTCATACAATACAAAAAAAAAAAAAAAAAAGTTAAATTTTTTTTTTCACTAATAAGCCTTTTATTGGTACATGTTAGATTGTTTTATAAGGGTAATAAAAATTATAGTTTATTCAATCCAAAAGAAATTTCATACATACATACATAAATGCATGTGTGTATGAATATATGCATCTTTGTATATAGAAATGTATGTATATAATACTCCTTAGCATCAAGTGTGTTTTGCATTAAATATTTTGTATATAGAAATTTGAATAATGTGAAAATTCTTTTTTTTTTTTTTCTAATAGATTTTTGGTTTATGTGGCAATTTATACGGATGTTGATGCGTAATTTATTAAATAATTTATAAGTCAATTAGTAGATAATTCAATAGGGTCAGGATATGTTTGATTTTTTAAAAGTAAAATAGTATAGTTAGATATTTAGATATAAGTATTCAAAAAAAAAAAAAAAAGATATTTAGATATAATTTTGATATTTAATTTTTTTTTTCACTAATAAACCTTTTCTTTTTTGGTTTACAATGCTTAGAAAAAGTATACTTTATTCCATCCAAAAGAAAACTCATTAATGCATATATACATGCGTGTATGTATATATGCATGTTAATTTGTATATAAAAATGTATGTATATAACACACTTGAACATCTAGTGTGTTATGTATTAAAATATTTTCTAAAATGTTTTTACGTAATTAATATTTACAAAAATATTTTTATCTTTTTGTTACTAGATAGATGTTCATATAAACTATTAAAAAGTATAAAATACCTACCAGTATTTAGAATTTCAAAATCAACCCGTAGAGATATTCTCCACTCTCCTTCGGGTTCCAATATTAAAGGTAGAGTACGTATATATTCCTAATAATATAGTATGGAATAAAGTACCTGCATTACTGTCTTCTGTCATTGCATCATCTCCATCACCATCTTCTATATGTCCTAATCCGCTATCTTCCTCTTCCCCTGTATCTTCGTCTTCATCTTCTACATCGTAAAGATTAAATGTAACTTTTAGAACCTATGCATATTATTTAATAAAATGCTTAACATGTTCTCATTATTTTTTTTTTCTCTTGGATATTACATCGTGAATTAATAGTAATTTTAAAGTCGAATTGCACAATAGTTAATTAGAAGATAAATGAAATGACTTTATTAAGGCTATGTTTGGCATGTGAGCATATAGCCATTAATGTGCAATCTAATTATAAGCTTAGACTTTTAGTTGAAATGGAACACATGCTTCAATTTGGTATCAGAGTCAGACCAGGGGTCATTGTTCAAATCTCAATAGAGTTGTTAATTAGTTGATGATGATAATTTGATATATATAAAAAGACAAAATGATATTTTCATAAAGTTTAAAAGATGTGATTATTATATTGTTTTTATATTATTAAATATATGAGATATATTTAATTTATTAAAAAAAAGTTATATATATATATATATATATATATATATATATATATATATATATATATATATATATATATATATATATATATATATATATATATATATATATATTAAATTAAAACAAAAGAAAAAAAATTGAATTGGTAAGGATAAAAAAAGTTATCATTTCCAATTTGGTTGTGGAAAAGGATGAATAAAAATATAGGAGAGGAGAAAATGCCAAAAGGGTTTTAATTGGAAATGATAAAAAATGTTATTTATTTAAAATTATAAGGATAAAGATGGAAAAAAGTTAGGAAACTACTAAATTATTTTTGAAATGCTACCTAAAGTAATTTTTTAAAATAAACTCTTATTTAAGCTACTAACTTATTTTGAGAACATTACCAAAATAAGCTCTTATTTAAGTTCATACATTTGTGGGGTTTTGTTATAAAAAAAAAAAAAAAAAAAAAAAAAAAAAAAAAAAAAACTTTTAACAAATCATTAAGATTGAAAAATGTGTAAGCAAAACTAAAAAGAGGAAGATTAAATTAGAAACAATTTGTGTTGTGCAGGACTCGACTTTCCAAGCTGTTTCCCTAGTTTTGCATTAAAATATTTTGTAAAATGTGAATTACTTAATTGATATTTACAAGAATACTTTTATCTTTTTGTTTTAGATACGAATTTATATAAAATATTAAGAAGTATAAAATACCTACCATTTAGAATTTCAGTGTCAACCGGTGGAGATATTCCCCACTCTCCTTCGGATTCCAATGGTTCAATGACTTTAACTGACCCATCAGTTAATCCAATTGCAAGTTGGTTGGGTTCCTGGGGATGTGCTGCAATTACAACTGCATACACACCCTCGCTTTTGCAATAATATAACACAGACAAGTTAACATTTTTTCAAGGAAAAGAATATTTTTCATTGACAAATAAGAATAAATTCTTACCCTTTCAAAAAAAAAAAAAAAAAAAAAAGATTCTTACAGTCTAGACCAAATCAACAGTACATAACTATCTAAAGAAGTTCTTTGTTAATTTGTTGAACATGATTGCACTTTTTATCCTTCAATTTCTTTCCAGATATAAATTTAATTGATCTCTTTTAATTTTTACAAATCTAATATTAGTTCATACAATTGGTAAAAATAACAAAATCTCTAGATGAAAGAAGGTGCTCTTACCTATTTAATACTGTCTGAGATAAATAAGCAGATGGAGCAATACGGCATCTTAGTCTTAGGCTATTGGGCTTATTGGCATCAAGCACTCCAATATTCCCATCTTTAAAAGATGCATAAACTAGTTGGTTATTGCAGGAGTATGTAGCTGAAGAAATTGGTGCACAAAGGTAACCGAGTGGAATCCACTGTACCAACAGATACTCCAAATTAAAACCCGATGGTGTTCATTAGCATATTCCAAGATTTTAGAAAACATGTTTTACCTGACTTATGCATTCCATCTTGGATGCATCGTATACTGCCAATTGTGTTTCATGTGTAACTAGTAAGTGGAATTGGTCAGCATGGAACATCACATGTGTGTCACCTGAAGACACTTCACCCGTAGGTAACTGGATCCGAACTGATCTTCTCTTTTCCCATATGCGAGTGTTCCAACTACAAAGCTGAACAAAAAATGTACTCTTAATTTCCAGTTAATTTTTTATTAAAATATTTTTTGGTATGCACAGAATGAATAACATAGAAAACACAAATATTTGGTCAGTTTGAAACCTTCTTGAAGTTTCTACAAAATTCATAAATTTAAAATCAAAAAGTTTGCTGTTACGTCCTTACATATAATTAGTCATGGACTCCGGGCTGGATTTTGAGGTGTGCAAAATGTTCAAGACCAGACACAGGGTCTCAATTTTTTAGAAGGTCAAATATTTATTTTTGACATAGCTACTTAAAAAAAAAAATGCAATTAATCATGAAACTTATCAATTTTTTCCTCAAATCACTTCTCTCCCATAATAATTAGGACCTAATTAATTGAGCATGCCGCATCATAGAACCGTTATGTTTCCTCAACGGCACAAATGATATCTCAAGCCTTGAATCTACATAGATAATAACTTGAAACTTGTACCATTCACTAGTCACCACCAATACAGCCTGAGAAATTGATTTTTCTCCCCCCTAACAGATCATTCTAATTGCATTCCAAACAATAACGGCAGCCCAAGAAGTAGCTACTGACCAGATAATTTCAAGATGTTTTTTTTAAAAATAAAAAATAAAAAATTCTGTTTATTTGAACTTTGAAGATAATAGGTTAGTAGAACTCTTATGGTTTGATTTTAAAGATTGCGCTTATCCTTTTGGATTGAAACACATATTCTCCAATGGCCAGGCAATTGGATTGGAACAGATATTCTCATTTCCTATGTATCAATGCTCCATGCACAGAGCTGAAACAAAAGTTTTGAATTGAGCAAATTTGCTACTTATTACGATGGCAGATAATATGAGTTCCCGGTTAATTTTTTGTTAAAATATATTTTGGTACACTACGCACAGTGGAGAATGTAAAAAGCACAAATCTTTCATCTTTGGTCTGTTTGAATCCTAGAGGTTTCTACAAATTTCATAAATTTACAAATTAAACAAATTGTTTGGCTTTAACGCCTCACATGATGCCACGTTGTTTATCATTCATTTGCTAATGAGGAGACATGATGAACTTATATATGCTTACTTGGGCATCAGCACCCGATGAAACCAGCATTTCAAGATTGGTAGAGAATGCTAGACTGGTGATACGTTTCTGAAGACCTTTAAGATTGACCATAACCTATATATATATTTGAAAATTGATTAAATTGGTACATGTTAACTTAGCATATACATAATGCAATAAAATATAATACCTACACAGAGGAATTACCTCTTTATCCCAAACATTGTATACATTTATGGTTGAATCCTCCATACCAATTGCAAGAATGTTTTTATGACGAGGATGGAAAGCTAAGAAAGTTGATGCAGATTGGCACATGAATGTTACCTTTTCCTACATCACATAGAGATTATAGCAATTACGCACATTATCATTCATAAAGCCAAATGTGCAATAGAAGTTAAACCAGTTCGATAGTTATACCTCAAATGTTTCTATGTCAAATAATGAAACTTTTCCACCAACAGCTAACGCAACAAATGAGCCACTATTTGGGAGTGCTATGCAAGGAACTATTTCTTTGAAGTCAACACCTGACACATGAAGACCACTGTATGTTTGCCAAAGTTGTGGAACAGAATTGGCAGTGGCCTTTACACCCGACAAACTTTAGAGAATCATTTTCCAAACATCGATGTAAGACATTACATAAACCATAAAGCAAAAATAAATAAAAATACTCTAATCTATTCACTACCTTTCTGCTTGGATTTTGGTTGTGGTAGAACCATTTCCATAGTTTATGAATACCATCTGAGCTAAGTGCCAAGATGTCAACACCAGACTTTGTGTAAAGAATTCGAACAACCTTAATAGAATCATTTCAACATCAAGTAAGTGGTGAAATTCATGAATGTAAAATTTTTAGTAGTTCATTTTTGTCTTATGTTTTTCAATACATTTCTAGGTCAGCGAACCATGCCGCTCATGCCTTAGCAAAAGCGATTGGCTCTCAGGATGGTCACATGAGTTGGGAGGATATTCCCCTCATTTTCTTCTTGAATTGGTTTAATATATCTGCTTTGTTGTCGGTTTTCAAAAAAAAAAAGTGGTGAAATTCATAGAGAATTGAATACTTAAACACCATATTTATTTATTTCTTTCAAAAACACCATATTTATTAGTTAAAGCACCAATTGTTAGTCGGTAGGAGAGATGAACAAGGAGAAAAATAATAGAGAAAATTAGTTAAAAACCTTTGCATCAAAGCACTCTGGCATGGAAACCATTCTACATTGAATTGGATCTACAATTTCAGTTAACTGCCCAGGTTTGGTTCTGTTTTGACCTAGCAATTAAAAAAAAAAAAAAAAACACTAGTTAGCAAGACATAAAATTACACAGGAAAATAAAAAATTAGTGTTTAATCTTTAAAATGATTCATGTTGTTAACAAGTTAATTAGAACCCAACTAATGACTCATTTAGCTCATTAAAATTATCATGTCAACATGTGTCCACGAATCCATTTGTGACCTTTATGAACCCATTTAATATTAATTTTTTTTTTTGAATGCTACTGACAAAATTAAAAGAATAGGATAAAATGAGACAATACCACAATAGTCAATGATAGGATATATACCTCGAGTTTAGGCTCCTCATAATACTCCGTACTCCTGTTTGGGTTGGGTCAACGGGTCAAGTCCTATAAAAAGGGCATTAACCCTCATTGTAAGGGGCATCCTGCCCTTCTCTCCTCTCTGCACTAGCCTCTCTCCCTCTAGACTTAGAACTCTCTATATCTCTCTAAAGATACAAGCACATTTATGAATAAAATATCCATTTGAGTTACTCATTGTTCATACATTCTTGATACATACACTCGATATACAACATACGGTATACACCCTACGTACAATCAAGAATTAACCATATCAGTCAAGAACTAAAAGTGGAATTTGTTCTTTTATACATTGATATTTACGCCTCTTTTTCCAAAATGCATGCATGACATACATCGAAATTAGATTTTATTCAAACTATTTTATAATTCAATTTTTGAAATATTTAATCTAGTGTTATTGAACAAAAGTTATATACTTAAAATCTACATTAAAATCATATTAAACAAAAAATTGAAATTAAATATTAAAAAATTTTGTTAAAGAAAATAAGTGCCTGTAAAAGGAAGAGTTTACTTTAACCAATAAATAAAATGTAAGACATACAAAATGAGATGGGAAGAATCACTTTAATTTGTTGAGAAACCGAATTACGGAATGGCCCAAAAGGTATCAATCATTATACTGTGGACTATGGTCTACATTATTGTAAGGTGAACTATTGACATAAGATTCATTTATAGTATACTAAATGTTTATTTTTAATACACTGAATATTAATTTTCAATACATACAATGTTATTATTTGGCAATTCATTGTGTACGGAACATACTACTAAAAAATTAACATTCAATTCAATATATTAAAAATGAATATTCGTTTAAAAATATATATATACAGGTACACTAAAAGTGAACATTTATCAATATTCGCATGCAATGTGGACCATGGACAAATGTTTATTTTTAGTATATTGAATATTCATTTTTAATGTATTAAAAGTTCATTTTAGGTAGTATTTTTAAAAACAGACATTCAATATACAAAATATGAACTTTCAACAAATGAACATTCAGTGTAGTATATAATAAGGAATAATGTATGCATAAGACTAGTTCTTTCCTGTTTTGTAGCACTAGAATAGGTCATACAAGACTAGTTCTTTCCTGTTTTGTAGCACTAGAATAGGTCTTGTAGTTCTTTCCTGTTTTGTAGCACTAGAATAGGTCTTGTAACTGTTCGTAGATTATGGTGAGTCTGTTGTATGCATGGCTATTTAAAGTCCCTAGTTGGATTTTGATTTGCACCACCCCCGCGCGAGAGAGCCTCTATGCTATACAATTCTACAAGCTTGAAAAGAGCTCATGTATATAATGGGGGCAAATCTTGTTTCCAAACCAATGTGGGACAAAGTCCTACATTTTCCCTTCATTTCCCAACTTAAATGGGTCTACTTTGAGAATCAATATCTCATTCACCCATTATCCGTTTTGAGCGTACAATATATCAATCTCTTCGTCTTACTACGAAGAATCCGAATCCACTTTGACCCGACCCAAATCGGAAGTGGACCCCATTGATAATTGTACCACAAAATAGCCACTTAATATGCCATTTTATGCCATTTTAAGCTAATTTTTCCAACATAAAGTACCTATATGATGTAATATGGAATAAAATGATGGTATAAAGGGGTAAAATAGTTGTAATTTAGAAAGATATTTTTACCTAATTCTTGTTGTGATGTTGCAGCAGTTTCGCAATGATAGCGGTGACTCCATATTTCTTCCCCAATAAGAGTTATTGGAGCTTCTTCACTATTATCTTCAATCATTCGAGTCTCTTCATCACTATCTTCAATCATTGAAGCCTCTTCATCACTGTCTTCCGTTATTGGAGTCTTTTCATCATCACTATGTTCTGTCATTCGTGTATAAGTGATAATATATTTAGATTTTTTTATTTGATAAACTTATATTTACCATTGTAATCTAATTTAATTTAATAACATAAAGATATAAAATTGTGTGTATGTATATAAATTGATATTTACTCCCTCCTTTCCAAAATAGTATGGCATTTTAAAAAAAATAAATATTATTAAAAAATCAAGGGAAAAGGGTGAAATAGACCCCTAAACTTTACCCCAAAAGTCAATTAGGCCCCTAAATTTTAAAAGAGTGCAATTAAATCCTCAAACATGTCAAATTGGGTCAATGAATTCCAAAAACTGATAAATGATCTGTTATTACAGGTCATTTCAATTCCGGCGACGGATTCGGATGAATGGCAACAAAATCCGACAACCGGCAACAAATTCCAGCAATCAACCCTGCTTTGCCAATGTTAAGCCATGTTATTAATATGTTTATTTATATTATTGTTATTGTTATTTCCTATTATGTTAGAATTAGTCAATAAGGTAATATAATTGACTAGCCTATTGTATATGAGTAGTTTACGATTATTACTCTACTTTAGTGTTTCAGTTGTAACTTTTTTCCTGTTGAATGAACGATCACTTTCTCATCCGGTATCAGCAGACCAGGATCAGTTCTCTCTCCACCTATCAACCTCCACCACCACCGTACCCCCTTCGTCCCTCACCAAAATGTCCACCAATTCGTCCGAGAGGACGGTCACTGCTGCCCCCACCGCCGCGCCGGCCGCCACCCCCAACCCCATGGCGGGTGCGCATCATTTTGTCTCTCTTAAATTGACGATGCGCAATTTTTTATTTTGGAGGACACAATTGTTGCCGTTCCTCCGTGGCCAGGAGCTGTTAGGATACGTGGATGGTGAGATTCCATGCCCACCGCCGGTCATAGACGCTGCTCTAGTCTCCGGTGAGTCGGCTTCTGCCACCACCACTCCATCGCCGATCTCGAACCCTGCGTATAAAGCATGGGTTAAACAAGATCAGTTGATCATGTCATTGCTTATCTCATCCCTCTCGGATGAGGTAATACATCTAGCGGTCAGACACACTACTTCCCGAGAGGTGTGGGAGTCGATTACTACGGCTCTAAGCAGCTCCACCCGCGCCCGGTGCCTCAGTCTCCTTGGCCAGTTTCACTCACTTCGTCAAGGTAATAGTTCCGTCACCGAATATCTCGGTCGTGCCCAATTGTTGGTGGAAAATATTGCACTGGCCGGCCGGCCAATATCATTGGATGAGCAAAATTTGTTCGTCTTCAGAGGCCTGCGCCCGGAGTACAGGGCCATGGCGTCGTCACTCATAGTGGCAGGAACTCCAGTCACCATCTCCCAGATTTCAGATCACTTGCAGGCCCAGGAGTTTATCCATTCGGAGGATTTTCCGGCGGGTTCTGATGCAGGCTTTGGGACTGCTCCGATGGTGAATTATGCCGGGCGAGGTCGACGCAATGATGGCGGGCAAGGCTCCTCCAACGGCCAGGGCCGGAACAGCGGCAATTGCGGTCGGGGAGGCAATCGCTGCCGTGGCCGGAACAATGCTCCACGCTGCCAGATCTGCCGGATACAAGGCCATACTGCCGTGACGTGCTATCAACGTTACACCGGACAGTCGCAGCCGCAGGCGCATGTCGACGTCTCCGGCGATGATGGCGTCTCGGGATCCACCGCCGGCTGGTTTCCCAACACCGGCGCTTCGGCCCACGCAACGCCCGACTCCAGCTTGATGAATCAGTCAGAGGAATATTCGGGTGGTGATGTTCTGCGCGTGGGTAACGGGACAGGTTTGACTATTTCTCGTGTTGGTCACGCATCTGTACCGTCCGAGTCTAAAACATTAAAATTATCTAATGTTTTATTTGTTCCTGAATTGTCAGTTCCTTTACTCTCAGTACAGCGGTTTACTAACGAAAATAATTGTTTTTTTGAATTTCACAAGAACTGCTTTTTTGTGAAGGATTCCACAACTCGGGTAGTGCTGCTTAAGGGGCCCACACTGGGCGGCCTATACAGACTCTCAGTGTCGCAATCACACTTTGCGTTTCTCACTTCCCGTACAACTTCTGATGTGTGGCATCGCAGACTTGGCCATCCACATGCCAATGTTCAAAGCCGTGTTTTGAAATCCTGTCCAGTTGCGTCTAATAAAGCTACATCATTGGAGTCCTGCAAGTCGTGCCATATGGGAAAAGCTTCTAGATTTCCTTTAGATAGGGTTCCTTTCAGTAGTAATAATGTGTTGGATTTATTATATACCGACATTTGGGGACCGTCACCTGTAATATCATCTAGTGGCTTTAGATATTTTGTACTCTTTGTGGATGACTTTTAACGCTTCTGCTGGTTTTATCCCTTACGGGTAAAATCAGATATATATAAAACGTTTGAGTCGTTTCGAGTCATGGTAGAACGCCAATTCTCGCGTTCTATCAAGTCCATTCAATCGGATCTAGGTGGGGAATACCACAAACTACATAACACGTTTGTTAATCTTGGTATTAATCACCGACAGTCGTGTGCGTACACACACGAACAAAATGGGCGGGTAGAACGTAAAAACCGCCATATAGTTGAAACCGGGTTGGCCCTACTGGCCGAAGGTTCAGTCCCATTACAGTACTGGGACTACGCGTTTGAAACCGCTACATGTCTAATAAATTATCTACCCTCTTCTGTCCTACAGTTTCAGAGTCCATATAGCCTTCTACATAAAGCGTCACCCCCATACACTTTCCTTCGAGTATTCGGGAGTCGATGTTACCCTTATCTACGGCCTTAAAATCGGCACAAGATAGAGTACCGTTCGGCACCCTGCGTATTCTTAGGTTACCCGTTGTCCTTTAGGGGTTATAGATGCGTTAACTTAACATCATGGAAAGTCTATATCTGTCGCCATGTGCGCTTTGATAAACACGTTTTTCCTTTTGCAGACATTGAAAAACAGGTCAACATCACCGAATCACCACCGGCACTACCGTGGGCGGCCAGTCCTGTCTTAACTCAGACTGTGCCAACCACGCTGATTTCAGAGTCACCAGCAAGTCCGGTGCCCTTAGCCCGAGAGTCACCGCCACCCTTGGCCATTGAAGGGCCAGTTACGACTCGCAGGGTCAGGGTTCGTAAAGCTCCAGTTAGGACTCGAGACCATGTAATGCGGCTGCGCCGCATGACTCGAGGAACAGGAGAAGAATTCCATGCCTTACACACGTCCACTGATCCGACGTGCTATTCACAAGCTATTGGACACCCACAGTGGCGTGAAGCCATGGATCAAGAGTTCAACGCTCTGCTTCATAGCAATACTTGGTCACTAGTCCCGACGGACCCTAATATGAATGTAATTGGGTGTAAATGGGTATTCCGGACCAAACGCAATGCGGATGGATCGGTTGAACGCTATAAAGCCCGCCTAGTGGCCAAAGGGTTTAATCAGGTGGCCGGCGAGGACTTCTTCGACACTTTCAGCCCGGTAGTCAAACCGACTACCGTACGCTTGTTATTTTCACTAGCTGTTTCACATCAGTGGACTTTGAGACAGCTGGATGTCCATAATGCCTTCCTCAATGGGCACTTGACTGTTTATATGAAACAGCCTCCAAGCTATGAAGATCCTACACATCCAGATCATGTGTGCCATCTTCAATGCTCTTTATACGGTCTGAAACAGGCCCCTCGGGCGTGGTTCAAAAGGCTGCATGACTATTTACTCTCTGCAGGTTTTTCCTCGTCAAAGATAGATATCTCGCTTTTTCATTACTCCTCGGGCTCATCACGAGTATACCTACTGGTATACGTGGATGATATCATCATGATGGGGAATGACGCACCGTTGATTACTACTCTTCTTAGCCGACTATCAGACACCTTCAAAATTCGGGATCTTGGCACTCCCGACTTTTTTCTTGGCATTGAGACGGTAAAACTAGACTCTGGTATGATATTATCTCAACGCCGTTATATGAATGACATATTGGCTCGTGCCGGCATGACTGACTGCAAGCCACTTGCTACACCCGCTGCCGTTACTCAAGCTGTTTCACCTACACAGGAATCATTTGACAATCCAACTCAATATCATCGCATAGTTGGAGCACTTCAGTACTTAACAATCACAAGGCCGGACTTATCCTTCGCGGTCAATCGGTTATGTCAATTCATGCACTCTCCCACCGTTGATCACTGGGTATTATTGAAACGAGTGCTTCGATATATTAAGGGTACGCTAACCTATGGTCTACGGCTCTCAGTATCCACGTCGTCTGCTATTCACGCCTTTTCAGATTTTGATTATTGGGCCGGATGCCCGGTTGACAGGAAGAGCACCAGTGGGTATGCCGTGTTTCTCGGGGATAATCTCATCTCATGGCTCTCCAAGAAGCAACGCACCGTCGCCCGCTCCTCTACTGAAGCAGAATACAAGGCCTTAGCGGATGTCTCGGCCGAGGTTATATGGGTGGTGTCTCTACACGACGCCCAGCCGTCTACACTGTGGTGTGATAATCTCGGGGCAACTTATCTATGCGCCAATCCGATTTTCCACGCCAGAACGAAACATGTGGAAATTGACTATCATTTTGTCCGGGACAAGGTTGCCTCAGGGGACATGACAGTCAACTTTGTTTCAACCAAGGATCAGCTAGCAGATATTTTCACCAAACCGCTCCCCGGTCCTCGGTTCACTTTCTTACGCGACAATCTCAATGTGGTGATGCACCCTCCTTGTGCTTGAGGGGGAGTGTTAAGCCATGTTATTAATATGTTTATTTATATTATTGTTATTGTTATTTCCTATTATGTTAGAATTAGTCAATAAGGTAATATAATTGACTAGCCTATTGTATAGGAGTAGTTTACGATTATTACTCTACTTTAGTGTTTCAGTTGTAACTTCTTTCCTGTTGAATGAACGATCACTTTCTCATCGCCAAGCTTGGCCACAAATGACCACGCCTTGACCAAGCCAGTGTTGTAGGGTGGTTTGAGGCTCCAGTGGGGCTTAACACCCACCACTTTCTTTTTGCACAATAGCATCATTTACATCCATTGGGATGACTAGGGTATCTTGATGGGTGGTCCTTCCTATGACTAAGTCTTAATTTGTAAAAATAATGAGTTCTTGTCAATATCTTTTTTAGGGTTGCTGGTTCTCACATGAAACCTATGTACAAACCCTCCTCTTCCTTGGGGCTTCATCCTTTGAAAATCACATTAATTACGAGCCGTTTACCTATGTTTGCCACTCCTCATACTTAGCTCTCTCCCCTTCCCTTTTCGGGGAGTTGGGTGAGGGCCCATTTCTTTCGTGTTTCCAAACATTCCTACCTACTAGTTTATCTCAGTTGGTGAAGTTCATAAGTTCACCAGACTATACAAAGAGCTCAATCACCCGTTTCATAGTCTGACATTTGTCCATGTCATGGCCATATCGTCGATAGAATCAAAAGTATTTGGATTTATTAACCCCCAACAGCTTTACATAGAAGTAGTGGGGGCATTAAGACCATGTTGCATTCTTCGACATAGGCTACGACTTTGCTTGGTTGCACTATTAACAGTGTTAAAAGGCATCAAAAGGACCAACCTTAAGGGTTTACTCAAAATCATCGGACTAGATTCAGAGGTTCTCATGCCTTGATCTTGAGGCCAATCCAACATTTCCTTATTTATGTTTACGAGTTTCTTTACTGGAGGTTTCTTTGCAATACTTTATTTCTTTTGACTTGGTTCGCCTCCTCCATATCGACATACCAATCTACGTTGGCCATAATCACTACATAGTCGGTCAAGATTTTTCTTCTCAAGCTATTATACATATCCATCCCCAACTCTTAATACCTCAAGTTCTACTACCCTTGCATGCCACCTATTGGTGAGTGATTCGCCGTGCATTTGTTTCATATTGGCTAGTGCATCCTAACCTTTTTCCCCATGCAAAGTGGGTCACGAATCTGACAGTGAAATCATAGAAAGATTCAATCAATCCTCTTAGTAACCACATAAACCAATGTTCGTTACGTTGGGTCGATCTTCTAATCATACACCTGGCTCGCCACTGCCTACTACACCTGGCTAAAAGTTGCCCCCACTATTGATGTGCTATTTAGGCTCTTATTACATTGGTCAACAGTGAGACGCTAGGTCCGGCCCTAACAAGGCGTTTGATTGAAGAGAATTTAAATTCCATTCCCACTTAATTTCCACTTAATTTTAAAGGCCATAAAATTCTTTTGTTTGGTTGAAAGGTATTGCAATTCTCTCTTTTCATGAATTTGTGTGTCTTACGTTGCGAAATTCTTTACTTAAATCATATTTGAAAATAACTAAATATATAACATATGTATGTGTCTTATGTTATAAAATTATGTATCTTATGTGTTTAAATTCTCTACCACGTCATTTAGATCCAGAGTCCACAATACTATGTGGACCTTGTCCAGGATATAAATTACCACCGCCCCTAGCATCAAACATATTGGGCTCATAACGTAGGTGCCCCCGAACCTAGTATTAAAATATTTTCTAAAATTTTATTATGTGATTGATATTTGCAAGAATATTCTTATTTTTTTTTGGATGTAAATCACAAGGTGGTTTGGGTCTCCCTCCACCCGACTAACCCTCGTTCATTCCGGAAGACATAGTAACTGGTCTAAAGGTAATCGTCACCTGTAGAAATCGAATCCGAGTTATCCTAAAATTTTCTGTCACAAAGAGAGCTTATTTGTCACTTGAACTACCCGTTGGTTTAGAATATTTTTATCTTTTAAGTGTTCATATAAAATATTAAAAAGTATAAAATATCTAGGATTACCGATAGTCGGAGATACTCCCCACTTCCTTTCAAATTCCCGTGGTTCTATGACTTTGACATCCCCGTTTGTTAATCCAATTGCAAATTGATTGGTTTTCTGTGGATGTGCTACAATTGCAACTGGATATATACCTCGGCTTCTGCAATAATATAGCATACTAGTTAACCCACATATTAACATTTCATCAAGGAAATGCATATAGTTCGTTAAAAAGCATGAATATATCCTAACATTCTAGACCAAGAATGAATGTTTATATAACATGAAAACTATACTTCCTGTGAAAAGTGAAAACTATGAAAAAAATGCTACATTGTTTAAGTTTAAACATGCATCATTTTAACCTAGTTAAATGTTTTCAAAAAAAAAAAAAAAAAAAAAAAACCTAGTTAAATATGTATGGATAGTTTAAGAAGGTTATCTACCCTTCTTTTTTTTTTTTTTTTTTTTTTTTTTTTTACTTATAAAAGAAAAACTAACATGCATTATTTTCGGTAAATATATATGGTTTTTCAATTTAACTTATGGCCTATGCAATCACTATTTTTTAAACCTAGATCTTCATTCATTCGTTTTTTAGATGGACGAACAAAATTTAGTATTATTTCTCACATGATCTTTTTCACACACAAACACATATATATCATGTGCAAACTACGGCAAAGAGGTAGAGCTAAAGAAGAATTAGTAGATAAAACTTTAATATAATGGTTTAAATAACAAAACTTCCAACATACTCCTAGAATCATCAAAATTTCTAGATGCAGGAAGGTATTCTTACCGATCTGATACAGCTTGAGATAAATAAGCAGATGGAGCAATACGGCATCGCAGTCTTAAGCTATGTGCATCAAGCACTCCAATATTTCCATCATTAAAGGATGCATAAACTAGTAGGCTATTGTTGGAGTATGTGGCAGAAGAAATGGGTGAGGAAAGGGAACCATGTGGAATCCACTGTAACAAACATACTCCAAACTTAAGCCCTATGTTGTTTATGAGCCAGCGTATTTGAAGATTTGAGAAAACATGCTTACCTGACTTATGCGTTCCATCTTGAATGCATCATATATTGCCAATTGAGTTTCATGAGTAACAAGTAAGTGGAGTTGGTCAGCATGAAACATCACGTGTGTGTCACCTGAATGCACTTCACCAGTAGGCAACTAGATGCGAACTGATTTTCTCTTTTTCCATCTGGCTAAAATGTTCCACACGCAAAGCTGAAAGAAAAGTTCACTTGAATTGAGAAAACTGTATGGAATTCAGGAATTAATTCAAAATATTTCTAGAGGAAAAAGGTTTGCCAGGAGCCTCTATAATTGGGTTCAGGGTTTAGGGTGGAGAGAGCTGGTCCATGACCATGATATAATTTGTAGGGTGAGAGTCTTTTAGCACCACATTTTAAATAATCTAAAAAAGTTAAAATGTATTTATTGTAATTCAAACTTACTTGACATTTTGATGTACAACCAAGGTTTCTTCAAAATCTTTCAAAATTTATTTTTCCTAACTTTGTGTATACTTTAATAATCTATTTCACATTCACACATTATTCTTTTTTAGAGTCAACAACATCTCAACTGAGGCTCGATCTCATGACCTCCCACAGTCCCAATGACCTCCCACAGTCCCACATAAGAAAGGTCACTACATGTCATCTGAGCACAAGGTACTTGGCGAATTTGAGACCACATTAATTGAACCAAATTTAAAGTAGATTCCACCCAAAACAAAGCCTCAAAATAACCATTTACATGCCATTTTAATTTCATTTTATTTTCCAACACAAATTACAAATATATGTGGGTTTGTCGTTAATTTTTTGTTAAAATAATTAAATTTTGGTATGCATAGAGTGGAAAACATAGAAAGCACAAATCTTTGGTTAGTTTGGACCCTTGAGGTTTATACAAAAAAAAAATAATTTCTACAGTCTTAAATATTAGGAAATCTTTATTGAATATTAGGAAACTCTTAGTAGGGTGGACTTAGTTTCCTATTCCTATTAGGATTAATTTAGTATATTGTTTAGTATATATAGAGGTACATAGAAATATAGAGTATATTGGGAGATACTATACAATCAATTGTAATCTTTCATAATAATATATTCTTTCTATTCTCTTTTCCTTTGGTTTTCTCACATATTTTGCTTCCGCCTAACTGGCGGATGGTGGTTATTCTCCACCGGCCTGGCCTTTCAACATGCTATCAGAGTCTAAGTTTTATAGGCTATCTTCTTTCTAAAATTTCTGAAAACACCATTTTTTTTTGGCAATACGCGGCTGCCCATGTCGTTCTGATGCTCTTCTGGCTATTGTTCGAAGAAACTAACACCACAGCCTTACTCGGAACCTCGTCACGAGTCTTCGCCGTAAAAAACCATCGCCATCCTCCACCGCACGCGCCTCCAACCATCGCCGAAGATCCCATCTGTTTTCGGCCAAATCTCCTCTTTTCCGGTGATTTTGTGATCTCACCTCCCACACTGATGGATTCCTCTCCCTTTTGCGACCTTAACTGGAAAATTTGGTCTCCTTCCTCCACCGCTGCCCGCGACCTTCGTCATGCGCCGGTGCGTGAGTTTACCTCCGACGATATTTTCCGGCTAATTTTTCAAGCTCTCTTCATAGTCCTCCACGACTCCATCTATATGCTTGTGATGTATTTTTCCGGTGAAATTTTTCCCAAATTGTTGTTTTGCCCGTCTTTGGACCTTTTTGGTGAAATTTGAAGCCTTTGTTTTGGATTTGTTGCCAAACTTCTCCCAAAGTGTTTGTGTTTTGGCATAACCGTGTTTGTTTCTTTATCTCCAATATGCCTTATCCCATGGGTGTCTAGTTGTAGCACTACTATAAAGGCCTTTGATTATTTCCCATATTTCAAGTAAGGGGGAATGTGACTATCTACAATCAAACAGTGTTCTATTTTACTTTGTTTTCCTAGTTATCTTCTTCTCGTTGCTTTGGATTTATCTTCATTACTATGGGCTCTACTGTATCCTTTGCTATTCTTTACTCCCTTTTTCGCCTCTACCGCTCTCGATGAAGGCTTTGTTGGAAATTGGAATGTCCTAGAGTGTATATTGTGTTATCTGGAGGTTGTTCATGTTCAACTCTATCCTTAGTGTGTTCATCTTCATTCCCGAGGTTCGTGTTCAATTCCATCATCGGTGTGTTCATTCCCAAGATCGTGTTCAGCTCCGTCCTTGGTGTGTTCATCTTTATTCCCAAGAATTGTGTTTAGCTTCATTCTTGGTGCATTTGTCTTCATTCGAATCATTCCCAATGAAGGGTCAGGCATAGCGCAATCTCTTTTGAAGTCATCCATCCTAGAATGCTTATATTGCTGCAATGGTGTTCGTGTTAATCTTTACCCTTGGTGCCTTCATTCACAAGGTTGTTCGTGACAAGCTTCGCCTCTAGTGCCTTCATTCCCAATGTTTATGTATAGCATTGTCCCTCCGAAGCCATCCAGCACTGGTATCCTCTAGTTGCATTTAATTTTCATTTGTAATTTTGAGTGAGGTAGAGTGCTTGTTTTGATCCATGCTTGGAACATCCAAATGTTCCAACTTGAGGGGAAGTGTTGAAGATTAAGAAACCTTTATTGAATATTAGGAAGCTCCTAGTAGGGTGGACTTAGTTTCCTATTCCTATTAGAATTAATTTAGTATATTGTTTAGTATATATAGAGGTACATAGAAATATAGAATATGTAGGGAGATACAATCTATCGTAATCTTTTATTGACAGAGGGTGTTTATTCTCCACCCACCAGGCCTTTCAATCCTCAATTTCAACACTCTGTTCCCCAAATATGATTACTCATGGTACGTTCAACTGTTAATTGTAGTTAATTTTTTGTTAAAATAATTAAATTTTGTATGCATAGAGTGGAAAACATAGAAAGCACAAATCTTTGGTTAGTTTTGAACCTTGAGGTTTCTACCAAAAAAAAAAAAAAAAAATTGATCCGTTCCCCACATATGATTACTCATGGTATAGTACGTTCAACTGTTAATTGAAAGGATCATGCAATGCGTGATTGTTTATCAATCGTTTGCTTATGAGGAAACAATATAATGGACCTATAATTACCTGGGCATCAGCACCAGATGAAACCAGCATGTATGGGTTGGTAGAAAATGCTAGACCAGTGATACAATTCTGATGGCCTTTAAGTTTGGCAATAACCTATATTTTAAAATTGATTAAATTAATTAAATTAGCATACAGATAATGAATGCAACAAAATATGATGAGTGTTGATAAGAGGAATTACCTTTTCTTTTACAAAATTGTATAAATATATGATTGAATCCTCTGTACCAATTGCAATATTTTCATAAACACAAGGATCGTGAGCTAAGAAAGTTGATGCAGATGGAGACATGAATGTTGTCATTTCCTACATCACATATAACTATCAGTCTATCACGCACATCTAATCTAACATCTAACAAATCTACTAATTAATAATATTGATATGTTATAAGCCAAAAAAAATTGTTACTGTAATAAATTGGATCAATTACCTGTAACCCAAATGTTTTCATGCTAAACAATGAAATCTTTCTACCAAATGCTGATGCAACGAAGTAGTCATCATTGGAGAGTGCTATGCAAGGAACTATTTCCTCAATGTTGACACCTGACACATCATTAATCATCAAAAGACCACTGTTTGTTTGCCAATATTGTGGAACAGAATTGGCAGTGGCCTTTAGACCCCACAGAGTTTAGAGACTCATTTTCCCAACGTCACATTATGCAAACCATAAAGCAAGAAAAAAAAAAAAAAAAACAATCCTTTCTCTACCTTTGCGCTTGGATTTTGTCTATTATGGAACCACTTCCATAGTTTATAAATACCATTTAAACTCACTGTCATGATGCCAACACCAGACTTTGTATACAGAAGTCGGGCAACCTTAACAGAATCATTTCAGCATTGAGTCAGTCGTGAAACCTTAGAGAATTATATAAGTAATACTTGCACCTTATTTATTATTTAAAGAACCAATTATTGGTTAGTAGGAAAGATGAACCACAAGAAAATTGACAGAGAAAATAGGTGAAAACCTTTGCATCCGAGCATTCTGGCATGGAAACCGTTAGGCATTGAGTTTGATGTACAATTTCAGTTAACTGCCAAGGTTTTGTACCTGAAAATTTTCAACAAAACCCATTAACATAGCAATAAAGTGCACACAAAAACAAAGGGTTAGTGAGTCTTTAACAGGTACTAACGAATAGTACTTTATCCTGATAAAATTATCATATCACCATTGTTGACACGAATCCAACGTTTTAATAATGCAATCAATATTAATTAATTATTAAAATATGTTATGAAGTTTATTTACTTTAACTAATAGTCCGTAATTATTAAAATATGTTATTATCTTGAACAGGGTGTTTAAATTAAAGTTAAAAAAATGTTCAATGTTTTTTAGAATAGCTAAAATTTAAGACTAAATACTAAAATACATTAATCTCTCAACACAACTTGAAATCTTAGCTAAATAGTCTTGAAAATGTGAGTATTTTGAAATTGATTTAATTTGGAGTGGATATTTTACTTGCTCACTTGTGAGTTTTTTGCTTTGGAAAACATTTGATATGGAATGTAACCTGCAATAACTTAGAGAACAAAATTATAATTTTTTTTCTATGAATAATAACAACAAATTTTACAAATTCATCAAAGGAAGAGCCAAAAACTTCACTTCATTGACAACTTGAAGACTGAAAATGATGACATTGTTAACAAAGAGACCAAATCCGCTATTACTTATAAGATGCATGAAGCGGTAAAATAATTGTTATTTACAAAGATATTTTTACCTAGTTGTTGTTGTGATGTTATTGTAGTTTCACAATCTTCTTCAATATGATGATAGTGGTCACTTTGTATTTCTTCCGAAGTAGGGGTCTCTTCAAACAATGCTGCATTAACAAATATTTATCATCTTAACCTTATTTATTATTAACATATATAAAAATATATTAAATATATAATTTACTTCATCAAAAGAAAATTTATATATGCATGTGTGTGTTTGCAGGCTTGTATATGTGTGTATATAATAAGTATACAACGCTGGAGTATGCGTACCTGAATCACTATCATTGAAACTAGCTTTGCTCCATATTGCTTCACTTAATGAATCATCATTTTTATATAACAAACCACAACTCCAATCTGAGGAAGAATTCGAATCTAGAAATGCCACCTCGAATACTGAATAATCATTGGGGTTGCCTCCACATTTACTTAACAGACTAGAACACGGTATGTAGGCAAAGCATATGAATTCAGAATCCATGCATTCCTCAAACTTGTCATCAAACTCTTCGTCATATAGTCTGGCAATCACACAATCTGTTTAAACTTCATTTGCACTATCTTTGTGTCTCAACTTAGCTATGAGCTTAGAATACCTAAAAGGACGAATTTCTGGGCGTGATTCCCATTTCTGTTTTCTTCCATTGAAGAGAAAGCATACAACAAATCCCACAAAGGTTTGACTATACCAAGAGGGATTAAGATTGATGGAGACCTTATTTGGACAACGAGATGGATATTTGAACCATCTCTTGGTATCAACATCTGTAATCAAGTCATCACAAGTAGGATAGATAACCAGGAAAGGAGAGTTTCTATTCTGAAAAGGCACCTGAACAAACTCCCTTGCTAACTCCTCAGCACAGAGAGTTACATATCCATGAGAGAATGAGACAGAATATAATTCTGAATACTTGCTTGCTAGCTCAGCTATGTAACTTTCATAAGCTAAATTAGAATGTGCATATAGTTCCCTTATAGTAGGTGGGAGTTTCGGTAGCATTAAAAGTCTTCGACAACCACTAATGTCAAGGTATTGAAGGTGAGGGAGTTTAGGTAAACAAGAAAAATCTCTTCTACTGAGATTCAAGTACTCTGTTTCCAACCCTAATTGGCTCAAGCATCCAATATCATCCGTCGTGAGTCCTGATATCAACAAGATCAGTGTAATAGTTTACTCATGCAGTCAAAAAGAAAATTAAATTCATACATACTCAGCTCACACATGCATATATGTAAGTATGTATGCACTTTTGTATAGGTAAACGTATAGTATGTATATAAGAGTGAATTCCATTTTTGGTCCTATTGTTATAGGGGTTTTTCCAATTTTAGTCCACCATAATTATGTTTGTCACATTGCGTCCATTATTATTAAAAGTGTTCCAATTTTAGTCCACTTTTTGGACTAAAATTAGAACACTTTTAATAATAGTGGACGCAATGTGACAAAAATAATTATAATGGACTAAAATTGGAATGACCCCTATAACAATAGGACCAAAAATGGAATTCACTCGTATATAAATATATAATAGCATAGCGCAATACTCCTTCCGTCCACAGTTATTTACAGTACAATCTAAATTTCTTGTAATATTTTATTTAATATTAGTAGTTAATCTTATCTTATATACTTAAAAAATACATTAAGGGTCCGTTTGGAAAGCAGGAAAATGACTTCTGGAAAATGAGTCATTTTTCTGGAAAACATTTTCCTTTCCAGTGTTTGGTTGCATTATGGAAAACTGTTTTTCTGTGTTTGGTTCATTTTCTGGAAAATGAGTAGAATTGTATAATTAAATATTTTAATTATTTTATTTAAAATATTACAACATGTATAATAATATATAATAATATAATATTAATTTTAAATATAATAAAAAATAGCTATGTTTTTCAAAAAAAAAAAAAAAAAAAAAAACTAATAACATATCAAAAATATTATGGTGGTGGTGGTGGTGTAGTGGTAGTGGTGTTATTCGTTATATAATAATAATAATAATAATAATAATAATAATAATAATAATAATAATAATAATAATAATAATAATAATAATAATAATAATAATTGGTGGTGGTATGACGGTGGTGGTGTGGTGGCGGTGGTATGGTGGTGGTGGCGACGGTGGTGGTTGCGGTGGTATGGTCGTGGAGGTGGCGCGGCGGCGGTGTGATGGTGGTGGCGGTGGTTGCGGTGGTATGATGGTGGCAGCGGCGACGGTGGTTGCGGTAGTATGCTAGTGGTGGCGGCGACGACGGTAGTGGTGTTGGTGTGATGGTGGTGGTAGTATGACGGTGGTGGCAGTGGTCGTGTGGTTGCGATGGTGGTGGTGGTGGTGGCGGCGACGGTGGTTGCGGTGGTATGGTGGTGGTGGTGGCGGCGGTGGTATGGTGGTGGTGGCGGCGACGGCGGTGGCGGTGGTGTGGTGGTGGTGGCGGCGGTATTGTGGTGATGGCGGTGGCGGTGGTATGGTGGTAGTGGTGGCGGCGATGGTGGTTGTGGGGGTATGGTGGTGGTGGCGGTGGTAGCGGCGACAGTGGTTGTAGTGGTATGGTGGTGGTGGCGGCGACGGTGGTTGCGGTGGTATGGTGGCGGTGGTTGCGGTGGTATGGTGGTGATGGCGGCGGCGGTGGTATGGTGGTAGTGGTGGCGGCGACGGTGGTTGCGGTGGTATGGTGGTGGTGGTGGCGACAGCGGTGGTGTGGTGGTGGTGGCGACGGCGATGGTGGCAGTGGTATGGTGGTGGTGGTGGTGGTAGTGGTTGCGGTGTTTGTGGTGGTTGTGGTGGTGGTGTGATGGTGGCGGGGGTATAGTGGTGGTGGCGGCGGCAATAGTGGTGGTGATGGTGGTATGGTGTTGATGATGTTGGTGGTGGTGTGATGTTGGTGTAAAAGTTGGAAAATGACTTCCCCCCAAAAAAAGGGGAAGTCATTTTCTTCCAAAACAAGCCTATTTTCCAAAGTCAACGGAAAATGATTTCCGTTGACTTGATTTTCCACGCACATCCAAACACTGGAAACTTGGAAAATGATTTCCAGAACTCATTTTCCAGGTTTCCAAACACACCCTAAATTAAAAGTCATGTCAAATATGAACAAATAAATTTGAAAATTAAAAAACTTGTTAAAAATAGAAAAAATTATATTTTTCGTCCTTAAATTATAGAGTAATTGTAGAATTGTCCCTAAGTGTTGGTTATACTCACTTTTCGTCCTTAAGTTATTATTAACGTTGCATTTTTCGTCCCTTTACTAATAAAACATTAGCTAGGGATGAAATTTGCAATTTTAATATAACTCAATGACGAAAAGTGAGCACGAAAAGTGCAACGCCAATGATAACTTAGAGACGAAAAGTGATCATGATCAACACTCAGGGACAAATTCTACAATTAACCTATAACTTAGGGATGAAAATTGTAATTTTCTCTTAAAAATATTATTTACTTTTTTTATATATTAAAATATTTTCTAAAATACTAGTATGTAATTAATTATTATAAAGCCATTTTTGTCTTTTTATTAAATACTACTAGTTTTTTACGTGCATTGCGCGATTGGGATAATGCCCAATGTTTTTTTTTAATGAATATTTTAAAGTATATCAAGATTATATTGAAATTGTTCATGCTTAGATAATTAAATGTTGAATTTGCGTATTTAAATAGTTAATTCTAAATTTACAAATGCAAGATAATATAGTCAAGATTGATTATAATTGTCAATAAAATAATTGTATAGGTATGGTTGAAACCAAATACGGGACATAAGGGAGAACAAATAAAAATTAGGGCATAAAATATTAAATATATACTAATATTGAAGAGCTAACTGCTGATTGCCAAACAAGGATATTGCGAGGTAGTTTCTCACTTCAATTTGGTGTGTGATTTGAAGACTCTTTTTGTCAATAAACCTCCCAATTCAAGTAGTTAATATAATTGGCTTAATTATATATTTTGTATTTTTTTTAAACGATTATTATTATTATTATTATTATTATTATTATTATTATTATTATTATTATTATTATTATTATACCATCAGGTCATTTTACATGTTAATCTAAACAGCTAATTTTTACAAATATCTTTTTACCAATCGTTGATATAATTCACTAGTCAAATTCGCTAACGCTAACGACTGATTATCAAACAAGGACATTGCAAGGTAATTCTCACTTCAATTTGTTGTGTGATTTGAATACTCTCTTTGTCAACAAATCCCTCCAAGTAGTTAATATGATTTGCTTTATTAATTATATATTTTTTTAATTTTTTCATGGTATAAATAAAATACTTGGTAAATAAATATATAACATTATTTTGTATTATAACTTTAATATTTAATTAAAAAATAGTGCACAAAAAAAAATAATAGACAATGTAGTGAATATAATCAATTGATGAATTTGAATGTAAAGAATTTTTTACATTAGAGAAATATATAAAGACAATATAACTAATAAAATTATTTCTCTTAATTATTTTATTAATAATCAATTTTTTTTTAATAAAGACATTGTAGGGACAATGTAGCGAATATAATCAATTGATGAATTTGAATGTAAAGAATTTTTATATTGGAGAAAAATAAAGACAATATAACTAATGAAATTATTTCTCTTATTTAATTTATTGATAATGAATAATTTTTTTTTGAATAAAGACATTGTAGACACATAATTCTAAATTAAAGAAATGCATATGTATTATTTTTTTTATAATTTAATAAGAGTAAAATATAGTACTAATTATGCAAACTTTGATTGGGATGAGGTTCGAACCTAAGACCTTTCTTATTAAAATCAATGAGTAAGTTAACGGTAAACTAACAGAAATTAACAGAAAAGATAATATTTAACGGATAATCATAATCATTAAAGATAAATTATGAAATCTTGAGGAAAAAATAAAATCTGATCAATCTGAGCCATTCATTTTATTAAAAAATTTGACCGCCATTTTTTCTACCTAACTCTCTTGGACTCTTATTAGTATAGTTGATGAGAGAAGTAGATAGTAGATATAGGCGTTAATATAAAATGTTAAAGAGTATATAGTATTCTTAATATAGTACAGAACAAAATAATATATACCAGTATAAAGGGTTATTTAAAATATGAATACCTGAATCGCTTCCACCGTGAGTACTTATATGCATTGCTGCTCCTGTTTGCCTAGAAGCATTTTTTTTTTTATTCAGTCAATTAAGAAGTATAGTAGTTGATCAGTACGCACTTTTCGGAAATATATAACTATGATTATTATGAATTCTATCCTAGCCTAATTATGAGAGAAAACTAAAAAACGAAACTGATAAAAATATTAAAAAGTTAAATTAGATTTTGATGATACCAATGTAGTTAAGATACCCCTATTTTTCTATATTGTTTCCTGCTACTTTCGTGTTAGACGAAAGTTGTCATAACTCATCTTGTGATTCGTGTTAAGCTAGACAAACACACGAAACTGAGTTATGATCTTATAGATAGATCTACTAGAACGAAAGAAGATCGAAGAATGAAGAGAAGTTACAACAGTCAAAATATCTACCTCTCGACTAAGCAGCAAATAAAGAAGTAACTCTTAAAGATGCTCATCTAGACGAAAGATAAAGACAATCTTTCGTCAAGAGACTCTAAGTCTAAGTTAGACTTTTGAGACAATTCTTCTCTCAGAACACAAGAAGAATGTTGTCTAAGTCTTAGCAGGGCAATTATTCTTGGAAAGAGTAATCCTAAGAATAAGGTGCACACCAACCAAGGAGCATTAAATGATTGGTACTTCATGACAGAGCTAGAAGACAAAATTTGTAGATGTTCTTGCTACCAACATGGTACATCCGCATTAAATGCACCGAGCCCTCCGGTTTTTACCCACTGGTCTATAGGTTTGAAATATCATCTTACTCCAACGGATGGATATTTCCTCTACCTATCTTCTTTACAGAAGAATGTGCTGGTTTTTCTCTCAATTGCTCATTCATACGCAAAAGCTCTTTAAACACAAGCTCATTCTATTAAAGCTTTTGAAACCAGTGATCTAAGGTCTGAAGTTTTAAGCAAGTTCATCAGATTCATCCTTCATCACCTTGAAGAAGTCTTGCATTTTCTACAAAGAAGGTTATCCATCATCCAGCCAGCAAGTCAAGACTTCAACCTGTTGGAGACACACGCAAATCTTTTATTCAACACTCAACTCTGAAGAAGACGTTGATAGAGGCGGAGTAAGCTCTAGGAGTTGAAAAACTTTCCAAGTAGCTGTCCGGCTTAGTGATCAAGGAAGCTAGCTTGAAGTAGCTAGTTTGTACTAGGAGTGATAGTGCAAACCCTTTCATAAGTTGTGAAAAAAGAGTGGAGTAGACACAGTTGGCCGAACCACTATAAAAATCTCTCTGTCCATCTCTCTTTACATATCGTTTTTATTTTCGTGCATAGCATACCATATCCTCATAAACCGAAAGTTTCACAAGCCATAATCTGTGCAAAGCAAATTAAAACGAACCAACATATCCGCTGCGTAATAACCCCGAAATGAATTATTTCTGTAAAATCGAATTGAGTCTATTCACCCCCTCTAGACTCTAGTTTCGACCCTACCGGGACCAACACAGTATATACCTAGTACAGAACATTAAAAAGTTGAAAAAAAAGACAGTAAATGCAGTGGAATAAAACTGAAAAATGGATATCAATATATGTACCTTTCATATAACAAGCTACAACCCCAATCTGCTGAAGTTTTCAGATTCATAAATTGCACCTCAAATCTTGAATAATCCTTTATAGCTTTAGATTCACCCCACAAACTGCTAACTGGTATGTAGGCACAGCATAGGGTTCCATAGATGTCGTCAGAATTGTCAAAAGATGATATGGCTATCACACGATCAGTTTGGAGATCTTCATCTTTATTATTTTTGTGTGACAATTTGACTATGACTGTACAACTACGGATGCTATTATCAATGGCTTGGTACGAGTGTCGTCCCCAAATATTACCTTTTTTTTCAGAAAAACATACCACAAACCCCATAAAATTTTCACTATACATGGAAGATTCGGGATTAATGCAGATTCCATTTGACTTGTAGTGTCGGTATTTGAATGTTCTCAACACTTTGCTCTTCTCAAGATCCACATTAGTGATACGATAGCTAACACTGAAAGGAGTCTTTCTATGAAGTGGAAAATGAATGAACTTCTTAGCTAGAGAAGTTACAACTCCATGTTGATCACCAGTAGAGAAGGAGACCAAATTTAATTTTGAGTATTGGATTGCTAGCTCAGCTATCTTGAAACCACAATCTGCATATAGTTCTTTTATATTTGCTGGGAGCTTTGGTAGCCTGTTAGGAATTTCACAATCTGTGATTCTAAGGTATTCAAGGCAAGTGAGTTGGCTAAAGCTTTCAGGTAAAGAATCAAAACAACATCCTTGGAAATTCAAGTATTCCAACGAGATCAAGCCTTCAAGATTTTCTGGCAATGACTTTAGATTTCTGCAGTTTTTAATCTCAAGAACTTTAAGATTTGTCAGCTCACACAAGTCATTACAAAGGCATACGAGATGTGGACATTGATCCAAGCATAACCTAGTGAGGCCATGTAGTTTTTGCATTGATGAGGAGAGTTCTTTAATTCCAACCATTTTTAAATCCAACTCCACTAGATGTGGTGTTCTTGCCTCGATTTCTGGAAAATTTTCTAATCTGATGCATCCTAAAAGATTGAGAGACCTAAGAGATGAAACTTGATTGAAGCTGGGAAGCCTCTCAAGGTCATGGCATTTGCTTAAATCCAATAAAATAAGCTTCCTATGATTTCCAATAGATGGGTGAATCTCTTTTAATTTTTGACAGTCACTGAGGTTTAATCTCATCAAATTGGGCATCCAATCAAAATTTGGGGTTTCTAACAAAGAGTAGGAAGAGCTGAGATCCAAATAGATCAATTTGTCTAATTTCTGCAAGTGAAGATGGAGAATAAAACAAGTCTAAGGTCTTTGATGAAAAAAAAAAAAAAAAAAAAAAAAAAAAGACTACCACAAAGTAGCAAGAGTCCATTAGAATCATATACCTGATTTATCCTGCAATTTTCCAGATAACTATGGTGCAAGGAAAACCAAACAAGCTTTGATGGTATAAAGCTTCCCAGTAATGAAGTGAATGGATAAAATTTGAAATCAAGCCACTTCAATTCACTAATATTCCCCTTATTGATACCACCTGCGGAGGGTAATAAAATCTCTTCTTTGTGTTTAGGGTCCTGAAAGTAGAAAATAAAAATGCACAAACTTTAATGTTTTTAATGCAATACATAATGAGAATATAAAAAACAAACCATAATCTTACTATCCAAATATATATCTATGCCTTACCATTTTTCCGCATAACACATTATCAACATCCTTAAGCTGCCATACCCTGCTCCTAGGTCTGTCCAGGCTTGCAATATGCCAACCCATTTCTTGGATTAGATCATGCATCTCAATTCTTCCTTCCAGGACTGATATAAGAGAATTTTCAATGAGTATGCGCATACCAATGAATGGTTGCAAATCACAACTTTTAAGCACATCTTTTACATATTCTTCCCTCTCGTGTCTGAAAAAGCATGCAATATATAAAAAGATGCTTTTACTGTTGGAATCTAGTCTATCAAAACATATCTTAAGCTTTGTATCAATATCATCATTTGGAGTGCCCTTGAGTTCCTCTAAAGTGCTTTCCCAGTCAGCAGCCTCTAGTCCACAAAAATGAGAGCCCAAAACTTTAAGAGCTAATGGAAGACCCATAGCATGACGCACAATTGATCCACACAGTTCTTCGAAGCCAGTCTTAGGAATTTTTTTTTTAAAGGCATGCAAACTAAATAGTTGAATAGCTTCATGCTCTTCCAATGTATCTACTTGGTATATATACTTTTCATCAACTCCATGGAAACGCAGTACTCCTGCATCTCTTGTGGTTATAATCACTTTACTACCCCTACCAAACCAATCACCACCTCCAGTTAATTTCTCTAATTGTTCCGTGCCATCTACATCATCAAGAACAATCAAAACCTTTTTCCCTTGAAGCCTTAACCTTATCTTCGCCGTTCCATCTTTCACATTGCTTATTTCTACTCCTGATTTATCCTTTAGGATTGTTGTTATAAGGGACTTTTGCAATTCAATGGTATCATGTTGTCTAATATCGGCAAGAAAACAAGCTCCATCAAATTGGCTCGAAAATTTGTTTAAAACAGCCATTGCAATTGTTGTCTTACCGATACCTCCCATACCACAAATGCAAATGAACTGAGCATCATCATCATCATCACATACCAATCTCAACCAGTTACCAATTTTGTTAACTCTAGATTCCAACCCCACCAAGTTCTCTTCAAAGGCCGGTGATGGTGAAGCAGTAACAGAAGAGGTAGAAGCCATCAAGCTATATGTTTCCTCTAAAACATGCAAGGAAGTAATTAGAAGGGAGATTCAAAAGCATATGATCAACAGACTAAGCTAGCGGAGTAAACTACTATTCCCATTAGACTTTGTACGAGTGGTCTCAGTCAACCGGAACTATTTAATGGGATTGCCGTAGCTACTTAGTGCATCCGGTAGATGATCTTTTATGAGTTTTTCTTTTAATATTTTTCGCCCACAAAAAATAAAAACTCTCAATCCAATTTTAATTTAATTTTTTGTAGTAGTTGTTTTTTTTTTAGCTACTATTGACACTTTAACAATCTAAAGAGGTTTGAACTCATGACCTTACATATGGGATAATCACATCGTGACACTAAACCACAAGGTTATTGACATGATAATTGCTTCATTTTGTGCATAAAATATATAAAATAATAAATGTGCAATTTCATTTAAAGTTAAAACTTTAATTGAGATGAACACGTACACCTTCCTACTATGTCAACAAAAAAAAAATATATCGTCGTGTTACTTGACCTATGTTTTAATTGAAATGGAACACATCCCTCAATTATATTAAAGTGTACATATCTCAGTAATAATACAATATGGAATAATTAAAACGCTAGTGTAAAGAATGAAGTACCTGAACTATATCCTGCATCACTTTCATACTCATCATTATCAATTGATTCACCTTCTTCCTCTTCCTCTTCCTCTTCCTCTTCCTCTTCCTCTTCTACATCGTCAAGATTAAATATGATTCTTAGTGTTTCTATGCCTATTATTTAATGAAACATGTTCCCATTATTTTTTCTCTCTTGGAACGTTGTGAATAGTGAGTTTAAAGTCATGGAAAAAATATTCTACAGCTACGGCATATTATGATCTCCATAATAGGGGGGTTTATGGGACAAAAAATAAATCCACTTGTTTTAGACTTGGTACAACCCAAGGTCATCATTCCCTTTGGTTTTCACAACCAAAAAATTATTTTGAAAGTCTACAAGTAGATAAAAAAATAAGACATTTTATCAAGAATTATGTACAAAAGAATATGATAACATCCTCTGGCTTCAAGGGATCGCACGTATAGATATTCAAAAAGGAGTCGATTAGATCAAAGTCATAATCTTTATGTGATTCCAAAATTATTAATAGAAAATAGACCGATAGCAACCGAAGAATTACAAATGACTCTACAAAAAGAATTGAAGAAAGATGATATGACTTTATTAAGGGTATGTTTGGTTGATAGGTTTAGGACTCAGGAATGGGTATGAAAACCATTGTTATTGTTTGGTTGACTTGTTTTTATAACACTATTATCGGTTTGGAAACCTCATTAATGGAAAAAACTCATTCCCTTATTTTATAAGGGTTTCATTCCAGGTTTTTAGATCATACATAATCAAACAACAAGTGAAAATCATTCCTATTTCACCCTAGCTACTAACAAACATGCAAAATACTTTCACCAAAACTCATTACCATTACGAATCATAATAATTGTGTAATTTATTTCTTTTCTAGAATGACAATTTACTTACAATTGACAATGCTACATACAATTAAACGTGTTCTTTTATTTTTTTTAATTACAAGGAGAGGGAACACCCAAACTACTAATCACCTCCACTAAGGCTTGAACCTATCACCTCCCACTTAGGGGAGCAACCAAATATCATTGGACCACAAGGTTAAACATGTTATTGGCATTGTCAAAGTCGAGTTTGTCAATATATTTTTTTTATTGTTTGGATAACTGTTCATACAAAATATTAAAAAATATAAAAATACATGTGATATAATTTTGAATAATATGTATGATATATAATATAAAGCTCGGTGAAGTATGAGTACCTGAATCACTCTCACTAGAACCATTTAATTCCCTGTAAGAAGCAAAAGTACAATGCATAAGCATTTTTTTTTTTTTAATTTAGTAATTGAAAGAACAGCAAAAGTTTGTCCCTTTCTTGAGAAATATATAATTCCTTAGCCTAAATAAAATATTAAACTGAAAAAAAAAAAAAAAAAAAAAAAAAAACCTGCAAAAAGAGATTTGAATATAAAAGAGTATATGTTGCATTAAAAACTTAAAAGAAAATCAGAATTTTAAGGGATAAATGATAAAATTTTCAAGCCCAATATGTTTACCTTTTTTGCTGTAATTCTTCAATTAATGATTTATCATCTGTATACAGCAAACCACAACTCCAATCTGTTGAAATTTCCCAATCTTGGGCATTGAAATGCTTTGAAAATTCCAAATCTTGAAATGCTGCCTGGAATACCAAATAATGATTGGGAGTAGTAGTATCCGTGATAGCCTTAGATTTAGGCCACAGACTACTAAACGGTATGTACGCAAAGCATACAAGTTCCATATCCTCAAAGTCATCATAAAATTCCTCATCATATAGCCTGCCAATCAAACATTCGTTTTGGAGAGGATGTTCATCACTTCCATTATCTTTGTGTGTAAGTTTGGTTATGAGTTTACAATACCTAAAAGGTCGAATATCTGGGTGTGACTCCCATCTCACTTTTATTGGAAAGTGAAAACATACAACGAACCCTACAAAGTTATGTCTATACCAGGTGGGATCCAGAGAAATAGTGATCTTGTTCGAATCATGGTGAGGATATTTGAAGCAACTACTGATATTATAATCAGTGCCCGTGTAAAGAGGATAGGTGACAGCAAAAGGAATGTTTCTATTTAGAAAAGGCTGTGTGATAGGAATAAACTTCTCAGCCAACTCCCTAGGTTTTAGAAAGGCTCTGTCATCATTGTCATGAATAGAAAAAGAGAATGCGAGAGAATATAATTCTGAATACTTGGTTGCCAATTCAGCTATGTTGTTTTCCAAGTCCAAACATCTATTATATGGTGCATATAGTTCCCTTATAGTAGGTGGGAGTTCTGGTAGCTCTCTAACTCTTGCACAACCGCTGATGTCAAGATATTGAATAACATGGAATCTGCTGATGAACCGAGGCAAATTTTGAAATTTCATAAAATTGATTCGGCTGAGATTCATGTATTCCAACATGTGCAAGGGTCCCTTATCATCAATTGTGCATTCTGGTATATATAAAAGTTTTTTTTTAGTTTTAGTAGATATATATTTATAGACATTAACAAATTTGTATATTTAAAAAAAAAAAAAAAAAAAAGAATAAACAAATACACGCAGGCATGTACTGATGTACATGACTGTATTTTAAATGGCAAAGTTTAAAAAACTAGCTAGCTATATATCAATAGTGAAGAACTGAAGATTCTCACATAATTAACTCCAACAAAATGAAGTTATGTAATATATATATATATATATATATATATATATATATATATATATATATATATATATATATATATATATATATATATAGGGTCAGGTTCCTGTAAGGTCAGGTCTTCCCGTGCGGTCAGTGCGACATACACCATTAGATATGCATAAATGCACCACACAGTGTTTGTAAATACACCATTATGTGGTGTATTTTTTTTTGTGTGGTGTATTTTTTTTTGTGTGGTGTATTTTTTGACATTTCATTCTGGTGTATTTTCGAACACTGTATGGTGCATTTATGCATACCTAATGGTGTATGCCGCACTGACCGCACGGGAAGACCTGACCTCACAGGAACCAAAATCTATATATATATATATATATATATATATATATATATATATATATATATATATATATATATAAAAGGAAAACAAATGAATTCGTGCACTATAATTTCATTGCACTCTTTACTTACTCTTCAACAATATTAGTAAGCATATTATAATCATGTCAGTTTTAACAAAATATAAATTTAATTTACCGACTCATTAATATGACATTAAGAATACTTAATTTATTTTAATATGAAAATTGTTGTGATACAATTTTTAGTCTCAGTTATAATTATCTAAAGACAACACTCGTCTTTATTACTACTTCTTTACAACTTGAATATACTCATTTTGATTATATTAAAAATAATTATTTTTATTTTATATTAATTAAATTTGATATTAAGTCCATCCCCATTCACTTTTTATTAAATAAAACAGCGACCCAGGATGATTGGTGCTCTCTGAGGTCTTTTTTATCATATATAATATTTTAAAAATTGTACTAAATATTTACTTATTTTAATTTTCAAGTTGGAAATTAATCCAATTGTGCAATGCATGCATTATAACTAGTAAGTAGTAACAGTACAACGGAGCAAAGTATTAGTACCTGGACAAATATCAACCCGACTTGCTAGTGTATGAGCACATGAACAAATATCCTCCGGACTTGCTAGTCTTTTGCTACTGAAAAAAAGTAAAATAAAAGTAAAAGCATTATGAACAACTATCATCCCAATTCCCAACTTGCTAGTCTTTTCCTCTTGAAAAAAAAAAAAGAAAAAAAAAAAAAAGAGCACTATGGGTAAACTGTGTTTATTAATTCAATAATAAAAGAGTAGAATTTAATACTTTTCTTAAAAAATAAATAAGTATGCTTGATACGAATTCATTGTCCTAAATAAAAGAGAAAACTAAAGAGTATTAAAAAATTCAAGAAAGATGGTAAATGAAGGGAAAACAAAACAAAACAAAAAAGAAGGATAAACTGAAATCAATATATTTACCTCCTTTGGTATAACAAACTACAACCCCAATCTGCAATTGCTTCCAAATTCATAAATTCCACCTCAAATCTTGAAAAATCATCTGGGGTTACACTAGAATCAGGGCACAAACTACTAAATGGTATGTAGGCAGAGCATATGTGTCCTTGGATTTCCTCATATATAGAGTCATTCGCATTGACAATCACACATTTTCTTTGGAGATCTTGATTTCTATTGTTTTTGTGTGACAATTTAGCTATGATTGTGCATTGCTCAACACAATGAATGTGTTTGTAGGAGTGTGGTCCCCGCATATCAAATCCCGAAGAGATGAAATATACAGCAAATCCCACAAACCTTTCACAATACCAAGAGTGATTGAGATCAATGGAAATGCCATTTGACTGATAGCATCGGTATTGAAATAATCTCAAGGCATTGGCACCAGGACTCTCATCATCATCATCCTCTAGTAATGGAAGTGAATAGCTAACACTGAAAGTAATCTTTCTTGAAATTCTAGGAAGCGGAAAACGAATACACATCCTAGATAAAAAAGACTGTGGCAGCTCCATACTTAGATCATTACCATCATCACAGAATGCAACTGCATGTAATTCTGGGCACTCTGCTAGTAACTTAGTTATGTTTCTTCTAGAGGCAAAACGAGAATCTGCATATAGCTCTCTTGTAGTTTCTGGGAACCCTTTAGGTTGTCCACAACCTTTGATGTCAAGATATTGAAGGCGAGGGAGTTGAGTGAAGTCAGGTAAATCAACAAAATTGCTTCCCCGGAGACACAAGTATTTTAACGAGACCAAGTATTCAAGATCCGAAGGGATTCCTTTGTGGATTGCATTAAAATCAGATAGTTGTAACCTTTTCAGTGAGCGCAAACCTGATACACTAGGCACAAATTTGAGACTTCTCTCTTCTTCATCAAACTCGTTCTCTCTCTCTTCATCATACTCCTGGTTGCCTCCCCAACACAAGCATTCAAGTGAGCTCAACTGCGTTATTGAAGATGGGAGTTGAAAAATGGCAGTGTCAAATATATGAAGTTCTTCCAAATTTGACAAGTTGCCTAGGTTTTCTGGCAATGACTTTAGTTCGCCACAATCTCTAAGCTCAAGAATTGTAAGACTTTCCAACTCACATAAGTCATCAGGAAGAGAGACAAGATCTTCACACCCACACAAGCGTAACTTGGTGAGCCCACATAGATGTAGGATCGATGAGGGGAGTTTTGTAATGGGAATGGATTCTAAATTCAGCTCCTTTACATATGGCATATTTGTCTGGATTTCTGGAAAATTTTGTAATGCTCCACAATGTTCAAGTTTGAGAAACTGAAGGGATAAAACTTGAACGAAGCAAGGAAGCTTCTCTAGGTTATAGCAATTGCTTAAATCCAACAAAACAAGCTGCTGAAGATGTCCAATAGATGGGTGAATCTCTTTTAATCCCACACAGTATGAAAGGTATATTCTCTTCAAATTTGGCATCAATTCAAAATTTGGAGTTTCTAACAAAGAGCGGGAATTGCTGAGATCCAAATACATAAGGTTGTCTAATCCCTGCGAGATCAAGAATAAAACAAGCATGATATGAGCTCTTTAATTTGATGAAGAAAAAGAATTTAACATAAAATAGTAAAAGGGGTTAGAACCATATACATACCTTAGTTATCCTACAATTTAGTAGAGAACTATGGGGCAGACAGAACACAACAAGCTCCGATGGATTAAAGCCCAAAGCACTTAAAATTCCAGAAGGATGAAAGGTTTCCGGTAATGAAGGGGAATTATAATGTGGGAATTCAAGACACCTCAAACTGCTAGGAAGAAAATTATCAACGTCAGCTGGTAAATTTTTATCAGCACCACCAACTATGAGTATCTTCAAATTTTCCATCTCTTTGACAGCTCTTAAGGTTTTCTCATCATCTGTAGATTTGTTTGTGGATGAGAATAAAAAACCTTCTATGTGTTTAGGCTCCTGAAAGAAGAAAACAGTACACAGTTATAATACCAAAAAGAAACCTATGTTTAGCACATAAACTTACTATGGAAATATGCCTTACCATTTTTCCCCTTAGCACATCTTCAACATCCTCAGCCCGACATACCCTGCTCCTATGTTTCTCCTTACTTTCTGCATACCAACCCATGTCTTGTATCAAATCATGCATATCAATAGTTCCTTCATCTGATTCAAATAGAAGACATCTTTTAATTAACACCTCTATTCCGTTGCCGGGATGCAAACCACAACTCTCAAGTGCATCTTTTACATAATCCTTTCTCTTGTGCCGAAAAAAACATGCAATATTTAGAAATATCTTTTTTTGATCCTTATCGTCAAGTCCATCATAACTTATCATAAGCTTTTCACAAATTTCTTCATTTGGGATGCTTTTAATCTTCTTCAGTGTGGCTTTCCAGAACTCTTTGTCATCATATCCACATAGAGCAGAACCCCAGACCTTAAGAGCTAATGGAAGACCACCAGCACAAGTTACAAAACCTCTAGACAAATTTTCAAATTCTTTATCTGGATATTCTTTGTTAAAAGCATGACGGCTAAATAGTTCAAGAGCGTTTTCTTCATCCATTTTCTTTACATCATAGCATTTAATGGCAACTCGAAATGAATCCAATAACTGCTTATTTCTGGTAGTTATGATGACTCTACTACCACTGTAAAGCCATTTACCATCTCCAACTAATTTCTCTAGTTGATCTTTGTGATCTACATCATCAAGAACAATCAACACTTTCTTTGATCCGAGGGTTTTCTGTATCGTTGAAATCCCATCATCATATATTCGAATGGAGGGATCCTTAAGGAGCTTTAATTGCAGGTCTTCCATTTTGTTTGCTCGAACATCATTTAGAAAACTGAAGTGTTGAAATTGATTACGAACTTTGTAATAAACAGCTTTTGCAAGGGTTGTTTTCCCTATTCCGCCCATACCATAAATGCCTAATATTAACTTATTAGCATCTTTAGAGGACGTTTTCAACAATTTTTCTATTTCTGCAAGTTGTGACTTTAGTCCCACCAAATTTTGTTGACCACTTGGAGGTGGAGGCAGACGTCTCAATATGTTATCAACAACTTGTGTGATACACTCTCCTTCATACCTGAGAAGACCATGAACACATAATTGATAGTTTTTCTAAAAACGCTAAGGCTTATAATTTATATTTTGAGAAATCGCACTTTTAAATGATTGTCTATTACGAAATTTAGTTTTTAGCTGTCAATTTTAAGAAATTTAATCCTTCAATTCTTCAATTATTTGAGTTGGTCACCTTTAAAACAATTGAAGGGCTAAATTTTTAAAAATTGATAATTAGAGACTAAATTAAATAATTAAAAGTGTCCTCCAAAAAAAATAATTAAAAGTGAGATTTTCTCTTTACATTTATAAATTATACAGTAATATTTATCTAGTCAAATTTTTGGGATTGTCCAAATGAATTACGAGTAATATGCAATGAGAAAAAATAATGTAATAAAATCATAAAGAGGAATGGATAAAATATTACTTTTACTATTAATTAATAAAATCATTTAAACCAGTTTAGCTACTTTTTTAAATTTGAATTAATAATAATATCAATACCAATTTTGATTATCCAATAAAAAAATGACACAATTATTTTTATCAAACAATTAAAATGGGTTTTAGAAACTTTGTATTTAGTACGAATAGAATAGATACTGTAATTTGGGAAGAATATATACTCTAATGTCCTGGTAATGAGAAACAAAAATCCATGTTCTTTCTTAAAAACTAGGTAGTAACACTACGGCAAATTATGGTGTGGAAACATGCCCACATTGCAAGATGGGCAGAGTTTCATATCCATAATTTTTATATTGTATATGCATAATTATAGAGTTATATATTCATAATTTTATAAATATATGTTCATAAGTATAAATCTATATGTTCATAATTTTCTATGTTCATATTCCTAATTTGTTGAACTCTGTTTTCACAAATCACAGAACTATATGTTCATAATTTGATAAGTACATAGTTTAGAAATTATGAATTTACAGTACAGAAATTATAAATCTACAGTATAGATATTATGAATCTATTGTATAAAAATTATGAATCTACTGTATTTAAATTATGAATATACGGTTTAAAAATTATGAATCTAAAGTATAAATTTTATGAATCTACGAGGTGGGCACGATTCCACAGCATAACATTTCGTAACACTGCTACTGGCATTAAAATGTTAAATAAACAAATAAAGAGAAAAATGGTCAAATAGACCCTTGAACTTTCTTCAAAAGGGTAATTAGGTCCTTGAATTTTACAAAAATGGTAATTACACACTCGAACTTATGAAGATGAGTCAAATAAGTCCAATTTACTGGTAACCAACAGGTTACCGATAAATTATTGACGTTGACCGTCGCTAATTACTATTCACCGTCATTCAAAAAAAATCCGGCGATTATTTCTACCGGGAAAGACGACCACCGGACTGGTCGTCGTCATCTTCTTTCGTCTTCTCCATTAAAGAGGACGACCAGATCTTGTCGCCTTCCCCATAGGAGAAAACGACCAATCGATCGTCTTCTCCGGTTACCATCTGATTTTTTAAAAAAAAAAAATTGTAAATGTCGGAATTTTTATAAGCCGGAATGTCACCAGAATCTTGAATAGCTGGTTATTCCAAGTGAATAACCGATTATTGGGGTTATATGCTTCAAAATAACAAGTTTGAGTGTATGATTACACTTTTGTAATGTTTCAAGGGCATTGTCCTTTTAAAGAAAGTGTAAGCCTTTAAGGGTATATTTTGACCCTTTTCTCATAAATAAATAAAACTTTGGTAGTAAAAAACAAAAGCAAACGACATGAACATGTATTAAAATGAAAGAGCAAAGGAAGAAGATTATATACCCATTAAAGTCATTCTTGAGATGATACCCTGAAATTTCGCTAGCCTTTTTCAAAGCTTCCTTCCACCTTTCCACCCTTGGCTTATCATCCTGGAAGCGCTCTTCATGTTTTGCAAATGATTCCCCAAAACTTGCTGTTTGATTGCCCACCTCTCTAGGCTCCACATCATAGAAAATGGGTATCATAATTTCCTCGCCGTACTGTTGTTGACATTCCATGATTGTTGCAATTTCTTCCAAACACCATTTGGATGATGCATAGTCTTTGGAGAACACAACAATTGCAGATCTTGATTCTTTAATAATCGGTAGCAACTCCGTAATTTCCCGTCCTTTCTCAAGTCCCTTGTCATCTTTGAAAGTGTTAATTTCTTTCTGTAGTAGCTGCTTGTAGAGGTGATCCACGAAAGTCTTGCGTGTATCTTCTCCTCTAAAACTTAAATAGACATCATACTCTATTTTGCGAGGAGTAGAACTAGAAGAGGTAGAAGCCATCAAGCCATATATTTATTTATTTGATATGGCCGGAATTTGATCGGATAGGTTCCTCAGAGGGATAAAGCAGAGAAGTAATTAGAATGAAGATTCAGAAATCAGAAGCATAAAGCTACCGCCTACCGGAGTTTCAGTCTAGTATATTAGTATAAGCGTTCCTTGTTTGAGTCTTGTAGTCAACCCCTTGGATTTCGGTGGTGGGGCCATTCCAGCTCAAAAAGCAACAATTAGTGCGTAGAAAACTTAGAGAATACCCAAATATATAGGAAAAAGTGTCAAATTGGCCCCCTAAGTCGACCGGATAGTGCAATTGGGTCCCCTAACTAAAAAAAACTCCATTTAGAACCCTTAAACCTGTAAAAATGTTCAATTAAGTCCAAAGTGACTTGTTTAATAGGTTAAGTCTTTAAATGGTTGACACATGTCTTTTTAACATATTTTTTATTTTTGTTTTTTATAAAGTTTATTTATTTATTTATTAATTAAAATATATATTATATAAAATTTATAAGAAAAAAAAAAAAAAAAAAAAAAAAAAAACAGCCACCATCTGTGGATGCCTCCTGGAAGTTCCACGGAAGAGGAGCACCGGAGTCCAGCATTGTTAACGTAACAAAAAATAGAACTTATACAATTTTTGTCGCTTCCAAGTTAGCCCATCGTTAACGTAAATTGAACAAATATTCTGTACTCGGATCATTTCATGATGCATTCTTTCTCACAAATATACAAACTTTGTATTTGCGCGCACCCACGCAGGATAGCAAGTCTGTAAACTTGTTGAACTTCACTTTCATGGGTATTCCAGAACCAGTCTTGGTTTCAAAACTTTGTTCATTTTCTTTCCAAACCTGTCATCAATCTGATATGAATGTATAGCAAAGGAATATATGAGTATTGGCAAAAGGAATTGAACAGCAAAATTCCCAGAATTATCAAACAAAACCATGAAAGTTATTGTAATCTATATTACTGAAAGCCATACATCAATACTTTGTGTTCAAAGTAATAAAAATCTGACCCAATCAAAATCAAAATGAACATAGAGAATCAAAATCCAAGTGTAACTTACTTTGGACTTAGCTAGGGCGACGACGCAGCTAGCTCGACTCCGGTGCTCCTCCTCCGTGGAACTTCCAGGCAGGCAGCCCTATATAGTATATATTTTAATAAATAAATAAATAAATAAAATTTATTTAAAAAAAAAAACAAAAAAAATATTTAAAAAAGACACGTGTCAACCATTTAAAGACTTAACCTGTTAAACAAGTCACTTTGGACTTAATTGAACAATTTTACAGGTTTAGGGGATCTAAATGGAGCTTTTTTTAGTTAGGGAACCCAATTGCACTATCCAATCGACTTAGGGGGGCAATTTGACACTTTTTCCAAATATATATACAAGCTCCGCCTCAACTAATATTCGAATCCACCTCGACGGCAGCAGTGTTGGAATTATGTTCAAAGTAAGCAGATTTCTTGTGCGCACTGGTATTTGACCATGTCCACTAATCTATTGAGTCACCGTGATTTACATCCTCCCACATACTCTGTTAAATCGGAGTGTGGGGGTCATTAGGGTGGAGATTCAACCTTTTTGGAGTAAGATTCGAATTCAACATTTCCCATAAAAGAGAGCAACGTGGTACTAGTGGACCACAAGGTCCTTGAAAAAAATTACATTTTTTAATTTATAAATTATAAATCGAGTATAAATAAATTGTAAAATTAATATTTAATTAGTCGCAAAAGGTGTATCAATAATTATTAAGGACAAATTTTGTGTAAATAAAAGAAGTAAGTCTAGTGTAAAATGTATGATATTTTTTAAAATAAAAATATAATTTTTTTAATAAATTTTATAAAAAAAAATATTTTAATTAAAAATTATTATACATTTCATGTGATATTGACTCATTAAAATATATATATATATATATATATATATATATATATATATATATTGGGTCTTATCATGTCTAATTGTCTACCCATAGTCCCATAGGAATAATGGTCTACCAGTTTTTTTTTTTTTGTTTGAAAGCCAAAAGAATCAGGTTGTATTCGCCAACAAGGGCTCAATGAAAGTAGGAGGGACATCCCTCCAAACAGAACGTTCGACTATAGCATCTACATGTTTAGATAAGGAATGTGCCACTAGGTTGGCTTCCCTATTCACATAGCATACTACAGTACCTGGCAAAGCATTAACTAAACGTTTACAAGAAATCAATGTGTAGCCAAAATAATTACGAAACGAATTAACATTGCTAAGACTCGTGACTAATACCGTAGAATCCGTATAAATTATACCACCTGAGTAACCATGATCCTTCAGCCAAGAGAGGGCTTCACACATGGCCATAGTTTCTGCCAGAAGGGGATCATAAGGGCACTCCATTGGCCCGTTAGCCGCTGCCACAAAAGAGAGATCATTCCCGAATACCACAAATCCAAACGCAGGAGCTCGTTGCGGTCCATGGAAGCCAGCATCAATGAAACAGGCAAAGGAGGTGGAAATGCTCTCAGGAGGCTGCACTGGAGCCGTCTCAGCCCGCCTGCCGTTTGCTGCCATCCGCCTGCCTTCACACTCCGTCCAAGCTGCCCAGTTCGCCTCATGCCGCCGATATGCAACACTAGGAGACGGCAGCGCCACATCCCACACGGCTGCGTTTCTAGCAGCCCAAATAGTGTGAAGCAGTCCGCATATTTGACCTCGTACTTCGCTCGAGTACCCCGACGAACCACCGAGCCATTCTTCCGCCCACTGCACAAAATTCCTGTTGGCAATAGGAGGGATTTGCAATTGAGAGAGTTGCCATAGTTTCAAAGCATAAGGACATGTACAAAACAGATGCATCACACATTCCTCGTGTAAGCCACAAGATGGGCAAGTATTAATATTGATCACTCTCTTAATTAATAGCTTATCAAGTGTTGGTAAAATATTCAAGAGAGCTCTCCACAGGAAAACTTTCCACTTGGGGGGAACCTGCAGCTTCCATACATTATTCCACACAGTTGACGGCTGCGTATTCAGAGTGCACAGGCGCTTATAACCATCCTTAACCGAATAATTACCCCTTATATCTCCGTGCCAAAACCACATGTCATCGTGATCCGGACTCACAGGCAGCTGGAGAATTAAACCTGCATCCCGAGCATTAAATAAGTGATGAACATAATTGTGATTCCAATGCCCCGTGTTTGAGTCTAAGAAATCTGAAACTACCAAATCCTGGCCGTCAGCTCCCTGGTCCGTCTCTACAAAGGGATTGTGTGGATCCGGAACCCATGGAACCGACCACACCCGAGTAGCCCTGCCATTACCAATCCGGCGCCTACAGCCTGATTTCAACAGATTCTGACTGGCCATTATACTCCTCCATACATAACTTGGATTGCCCCCCACTACAGCCTCATAGAACGAAGTAGTTGGGAAATACCTTGCTTTGAAAACACGAGCCATCAGGGAGTTTTGATTTGTTAACAGGCGCCATCCTTGCTTAGCCAACAACGCAAGATTAAATTCGTGGAGACGTTTAAAACCCATTCCTCCAAACTTCTTGGGTTTGCACATCCTGTCCCAGGCTAACCAATGAATGCTTGAGTCGCTGCCGTTCTGCCCCCACCAGTACCTATTCATCAGTCTCTCCAAAGAGGCACACAAAGTCGTTGGTAGCAGATAGATACTCATGGTGTATGTTGGCATAGCCTGCGCCACACTTTTCAACAGAACCTCCTTGCCAGCTCTAGACAGTAGCCTCTTATTCCAAGAACCGAACCTTTGCTTCAATTTCTGCTCAATGTAAGAAAAAATCACCCTTCTATTCCTGCCAACAACTGAAGGTAAACCCAGGTACTTGCCAAAATCCTCGGCCTGTGCTACCATTAAAGTCCCCGAGACAATATCACGGGTATCTCCATGGGTATTCCGACTGAAGGACACGCTGGACTTGTGATAATTCACCGCCTGGCCTGAATACGCCTCATACACACTCAAACATCTCTTCACCTCCAGAGTTTCCTGTAAATTGGCTTTAAAGAAGAGTAAGCTGTCATCTGCAAAAAACAAATGTGATATCGGCGGCGCCCCCCGGGCCACTCTACAACCATGAATTCGACCCTTCGCCTGTGAGTCCTGTAATACCAAAGATAGCCCCTCAGCACAAATGATAAACAAATAAGGGGACAAGGGATCCCCTTGGCGGAGACCCCTAGTAGGCACGATTTCCTCAGATGGCCTCCCATTTACCAGGACTCTATACCGAACTGTCTGGATACACATCATTAACAACTGTATCCATTTAACATCAAACCCCAGTCCCACCAACATGTCATTCACGAACGACCACTCCATCCTGTCATATGCCTTGGCCATATCAAGTTTGAGAGCTGACCACCCCACCTGGCCTAATTGCTTCCTCCTCAAGTAGTGACCCACCTCAGAGGCAATCAATACATTATCCGAGATCAACCTTCCGGGGAGAAAGGCACTTTGCGATTCGGAAATAATTCCTTCCAATAATGGCTTCATTCTGTTGGCTAACATCTTAGCCATAACTTTGTAAAGTACATTGCACAGAGCTATCGGGCGTAAATCAGACACAGACTCAGGGATGCATTTTTTGGGGATCAACACAATATTTGCATCATTCAAACAATTAGGAAAATAAGACTGAGAAAGACAAGTAAGCACAAAGGATGTGACATCCTTACCAATTACGTCCCAGAAGGCTTGATAAAAGCCAGGATTCATGCCATCCGGGCCCGGGGATTTGTCTTTGCCCATAGAGAAAAGCGCGTCCCGGACTTCCTCCGGCTCAAACGGCCGCAACAAGTGGGCGTTCTGTGCCTCAGTCACACGTGGCCGCATAGAGTCCACCCTGAAAGGCCCGGGTGAGCCTCCAGTCGTGAAAATCTGTCTGTAGTAAGCCGTTACCAGTGAATCCAGAGCCCGACCCTCCTTCCATACCCCATCATCATCCTTTAACTTCTCAATATAATTCTTCTTCTTCCGGTGGGATGCATATTTGTAAAAGAATTTAGTATTACGGTCAGCCCCTTGTAACCAGTGCTGTTTAGCACGCTGCTTCCAAAAAACCTCCTCCTGAGAAAGAGCCAGACTTAGACTCGTGTCAAGATGTCTAAAACGTGCCAGCGCTGTAGGATCGCGCCTACCTCGCAACTTATCTAGCTCCTTTCTTAACTCAGCAATCCGCTTCCCAAACTTGTGGTGTCGGTCTCCTCCCCATGCCTTCAGACCCTTACCACACCTAGCGAGGCGGGATTGTAACTCCACCCCGTGCGTGTTGGCCCATTCCTGTTCCACAACACCCCTACATCCCTCATCCAGAAGCCACGCATTCTCAAATCGAAAACCACGTGACCCGGTGACCTGCACTGACCCATATATATCAAGAAAAAGAGCCGAATGATCCGATGCGTCCGTACGAATATTGTACAGTCTAGTCTTATCATACTACCCCAGCCACTCCATGCAAGCCACGGCCCTATCAAGCCGCTCCTCCACCCAGTCCACCGTGCCCTTGCCCCTTTCCCATATATACGGGTAACCAATCATAGGAAGAGACAACAATCCACAATCCTCTAAGGCTTCACTGAAACCTTCAATCAAACCATTCGGATGCGGTAATCTTCCCCTCTTCTCAGACTGGGCCAATAAATCATTAAAATCACCCAACACGACCCAAGGTAGCGCAGCAGCCCCCCTTAACGATCTCAAAAAATCCCAAGAAGCCCTCCTCCTACTTCTCTGTGCATAACCATAGTAACAGGTGAGTCGCCAGTGTAGCTTCCCCGGTAGAGAAATCTCCAGATCAATATGATTAGAGGAATAAGTAATCAATCTCGCATAATTGTTCTTTCTCCATAGAAAACACAAACCCCCCTTCCTAACAACACTATCCACCTTAAAACACCCCTCAAAGCCCAGTTTAACCCGCAACCTCTCCGTCTGATCCCCATCCACCATCGTCTCCATCAAAAAAACAAAATCCGGCTTCCTTTTGGACACTAGGTCCTCGACTTCTCGAACCGTCCGTGGATTGCCCAAGCCACGGCAGTTCCAAAATAAAGTACTCATTAGAAAGGGCGGGCCTGGTCCCCAGGTCCCTCCATATGAGAAAAAACAATATCCACTTGCATACCCTTACCCGAATCCACCACACCCCCATCCAACCCCCGGCGTCGTTTCGGGTCAACCCGGATTCCCTCCTCCTCCCCACCTCCCTCACCCGCAACCCCCCTCACCACACTGCCCCCCACAACTGCCGCACTGCCCGCCCCCTCACCAACACCTCCCCGAGGCAGCCCACTGCCTCCCCGCCCGACACCAACCACGGCCGAAACCCCAGCTGCCGGCACACCACCGTAACCAATAACCCGGCGCCTCTCCTGCCCCAACTGAAACCATCTATCGCCTAACACCTTAGCCGGACCCATGCCACCCGCCCTAAAAAAAGGACCGTATAAAAACTGCTCCGGTTTCAACCCCGAACGTCTCGCCTCGAGGCAAAATTTATCAGTGTGGCGTTCGTATTTAAAGTTGATCCAAGCCCATGAACCATCACGCAAAATCATCTTCATGCGGCGCTTTAACGACATACCCACATCATGCCTGACCCTCACACGATAGAATGTAGCCCAAGGTTGTTCAAAATTCCGCTCGTCTACCCGCAAGTAGACCCCCACAAAATCCCCCACCTTCTCCAACACCCTTTCCGTACGGTAACCTATCGGCAAATCAAATACTTGGACCCAAAGATCAACCGTATTCAACAAAACATGCGTAGGATGCTCGTCTGCACTCAAAGCCTGGCAAATAAGCGTTGCATTCTCAAACGCCCACGGCCCCTCCTCAAGAACCCGCCTCCTATCCGCTTCATCAAAGAAAGTGAAGAGGAAGAGATTCTCCTGCACATCCGTAACCTCTATCCCCATCAATGGCCGCCAAGCGTTCGCTAACACTCTCTTCATCATCTCCGTTTTCAAAGCTCTGTCCGTCAAGAAGCGCCCCACAACAGACCAAGTCTGGTGCAGTGCCGTAGCATCCACACCACCGGTAGGTTCATCTTCGAAACGCACGCCTAAGTCCTCCTCTTCCAGCGAGATGTCCGCAGTAGCTCCAACTATGTCCTGAATATCCATGTCGCTGTCCGACGTGATCCCAACGCAAGAAAATCCCGTTCGAATAGCAGCAAAACCGATCGCACAAGGTAGAAACCCTAGAACCAGGGAGAGAATATAGAGAAACCCTAGAACCAGGGAGAGAATAGGCATTGGTCTACCAGTTAAAATAATAATAATAAAAAATGCATTATAGCAACTTCAATGGTTTGATTTTTGCATTTGTTTTTACGTAGACATGTAGGAAACAGAGGGATAGAGATAAAAAGGAAAAAAAAATGTTTACATGCAAAAAAATTTAGAGTTAATTCCAGTAATGATCCTTCAATTATTGTGATTTTTTAAATTTGATCTTCGTCTTTTAATTTGGACAAAATAAACCCTTAACTATCAAAAGTGTTCCACCATCGGTCCTTCAGTTAACTAAAAGTTATATAGCCATTAAGTTAAGGAGTAAAAGGGTCTTTTCCTAGTTATCTTCTTCCATTATCCTTTTTGTTCGAACCACATGTCAAACCACATTTTAACTCATATTTAGCCCATGAGCCACTGTCTCTCTCTCCCTCTTCCACCGGCAACCCCACCACCTTGAGCCTCTGCCTCTCTTCCATTCTCTCTCTCTCTCTCTCTTGGCCAGCAGAGCAGCAGCGACAGTGGCGGTGACTAGTGCAAGCAGCTCTTTACCGGCAAGAGCGCGGAGCAGTGGCGAGAGCAGATCAGCGTAGCAACTTTGTTCTCATCGGCGATTTCGGCCTCCAATTTGCTTTGTCACGCTCTATAAACAAATCATATGTATTGTTACGCCTCTTTTTTTCCATATGAAAATTGAATTATATAATCAAGAGTTGATTTACTTTTGCAGCCTCGCGGATTTGTCTAAATTTAGGACTTGCTTGGAGTTTGCTTAGCTTAAAGCACTACTGAGTGCACTAACAGGAGTAGTTAGGCCGTCGAGTGTGGTTGTTGGCAAAGAAACTTGCCATTGAGGTTAGTATCCAGAAATCTTGCATTGTTCATCGCCTCGTATGCTTGTCCTGCTATCATCGCTCCATATCCAATTACTGAAATCAGATTATTGTTCTTCCCCAATAGGTCTTTTAGTACAGCCATACCTGCCAAAAAAATTTCAACCATAATCTAATCAGCTTCGATCTTCAATCCTCAACTCATCTACAATTTTTACATTTTAGCATTGTTCTCTCTCTCTCGGCTAGCAGAGCAGCAGCGATAGTGGCGGCAACCGGTGCAAGCAGCTCTTCACCGGCGACATCGCGGAGCAGTGGCGAGCTTCCTTCTCCGACGTAGCAGTTTTTCCGGCCGCAAGAAGGTATCCTCTAGTCCGGCGTGAGCAGCTTCATGCTTTCTGACGGCGTGTCAGCTACAATGGATCCAGCAAAGGCAGCTTCATGCTCTGGTTCCCTCTCGACATTGCAGCAGTGGTTGGCAACGGCAGTAACCAACAGTGGTGGCGGCTGGATCTCCCCGGCGAGTTGCTCTCTCAACGAGCTTCTAGTGACCCCTGTTTTTTCTCGGCGAACAGAGTAGGAGGCAACGGACTCTTCTCGACGTGCTTTCCGGCGACGCGGCGGCTACAATGGACACAACCACCGTTTTTTCCCGACGTTTGGACCTTTCCGGCTATGAACCTGTAACGCATCTGGAAGCATTTGTATCCTTTACTTGAGACTAGCTAATGAAATGACCATTTTAGCCCACATACTAATGCCTAAGTAACTGAAAGTTAACAGAAGGACTAATGTTGGAACAAATCTAAAAGTGAAGTGTCTTTTTCGTTCAAATTAAAAAACGAAGACTAATTTTAAAAAATTACAATAGTCGGAGTACTATTGCTGGAATTAACTCAAAAACTTACAATTGGCGCAACAATACACCTCACACACTGTTGCTTCCATTTTCCCTACTTAATGGATCCCACGAAAATTATTATTTGCAAATTGTAACAAAACAAATTATCAAAAAACTTCAATCTCCACTAGTTTAAAAATTCAACCCAAGTTTTTTATTTTACAAAAAACACCTTAAAAATCACTAATATAGTTACTCGTAGGCAAAAGAAAATTAACCGATTACTCAACAAAAAAAAAAAAAAAAACAAAACAAAACAAAACAAAAAAAAACAAAAAAAAAAAAACAAAAAAAAAAAAAAACAAAAACAAAATTAATAAGAGTCGACCACATCCTACATGAGTGCATTTTTACTCTATAAACAAACTAATAAAATATATAATCAACAAAGTAATTAAATAACGAAGTTAACTTTAATGGCCCGTTTGGTTCACGGAATAGACCGGAAATGACATAACATTCCCAGTAATAGGCCTATTCTTTCAATCGTTATACCCTACACCACGGCGCACGTAGCACTGTGCGCCGCGCGCCTTCCAAAACGACGTCGTTTTGGGAGGCGCAGTAAGAAGTTGTTGTGATTATGTATATTTGTTCATACAATTATGTACATTTTTTTATACAATTCTGTACATTCTTTTTATACAATTATGTACATCCGAATCAAGAAATTTTTGTGTATTATGTTAAGAGTTGATGTGTATTATGTTAAAAGTTTATGTTTATTATGTATTATGTTAGATTATGTGTATTATCTTTTAAAAAAGAGTATGTATATTTTGTTATATAATTATGTACATTTATGTATACAATTATGTGTATTCTAGTATAACATTGTGTACATTTTTGAACATGGTTTTTTTTTTTTAAAGAAAAATTAACTGTCAATCACTGGGGCGGGAAATTCAAAAAAATAAAAATAAAATTGAAACAACGTCGTTTTGCATCTGGGCACACAATGCAACGTGCGCTTATTACAATTGCCCTTATTCCTTTGTTTGGTAACCATTTCTATTACCAGGAATAATATTCCTGGTAATAGCCTATTACCTCAAATAAGGTAATAGCTATTACTAGGCCCCCCCCCCCCCCCCTCCCCCCCCCCCGATATTAGCCTATTACTGAACGCTCAGGAATAGATTTTAGAATCTATTTTCTTTTTTACCCATTTCTTTAACCTAATTTTTTTTTATCCTATATATAAATTTATCATATTTCACCACTGTCGTCGCCACAACCACCATCACCGCCGCCGCCGCCACCACCACCACCATCGCCGTCGCCGCCACAACCGTCGCCGCCCCCCACCACCGCCGCCGCCACCACCACCACCACTACCACCCCAGCACCACCACCGCCACCACCACCATTACCACCACTGACACCACCATTGCCGCCGTCGCCACCACCATTGTCGCCGCCGCCACCACCACCACCGCCACCAGAACCATCACCCAGCAGCACCACCGCCCCCGCCACCACCACCACCGCCACAACCGTCGCCGCCCCCACCACCACTTCCACAATCGTCACCGTCACCACCACCACCGTCGCCCCCACCACTGCCACCGCCACCACCACCACTACCACCCTAGCACCACCACCACCACCATCGCCACCATCACATATTTTTATAAGGGTATTTATGTCTTTTAAAACATATTTCATTTCTATTTCTTAAATCAACCAAACATTGTAATATAATTCCTAAAGTCTATTCCTTCCACGAACCAAATAATAGAACACAATTCCTATTCTATTCCTTGTATATTCCATTCCTTATGGAATAGCATTTATATTATCTCAAAATTCATTTCGTAAACCAAACGTGCTGTAAGAGTACAATAAGTCATCCAAGTCTACCCTTGAAATTTCTTAGCAGCTTCGATCCAAGGCCCATCCCAGCTTAAAGTCTTTGGAATAATTGATGTTTCCTTTAGAGTGAATTCCGTTTTTGGTCCTACTGTTATAGGGGCGTTT